AAGTATGATAAAAACCCTTTGATTGTTATCATTACTGTTAACAGTGTAAAGGTTATAATCTGTTCCTATTATTATGATCACCGATCAATCCCTATGGACAATAAATAACACATATATAATTAATTCATTAACACTCTATAAAACCAAAAATATTGACAACTGTTTTCCCTTCTTTTTTAAATATGCATATGTTGTAATTTAGTCATTGGTAAATAATCGGATTCATGTGCTTAGTCGGGATCTTATGTGTATTTTATTATATGATCTCTTATTAATAAAAATACGATGTTATTTATATAATCATAATGTAATAAATTATTGTTTAGTAAATTCTAATGAGATAATAACACGTCTACACAATATTATTTTTAATAAATGGTATTTTCTAAAAATGAACAAATATTTCCAATTCAACTAGTAAATTATTTGAATGAATAGTATTAAAAGATTTTGAGTTAAAAGTACTATGTTAAATTGTATAGTTAACGACTAGAATTATTCAGTTTGTGTGTTCATCATTAAATTCAGAATATCCATTCATTTTTATTATTATTGTGCAATACTGAACAAAGTTTGGAAATAGACAATATTAAACACTTCATCTCTGTTCTAATCTATCGGATCACTTAAAACGAACCATTTGATCTGTGGTCAACTGCTGCTCTCATGAAACTTTTCTCTACCTTAATATTCAAGGTTCTCTTCTGAATATTTGCTACTGCCACTGGGATCTGCGCTTGTAGTAACTTATTCTACGCTTAAACTTAGTTCTTCCAGGTAGCTCTTATACTCATTCATATTACGCCATTAATAATAATAACAATTGAAGGGCCAAGTACAGCTTGTCCTCACAGCATAAACTCAATTTCCATCGATGGTTTGGTTCGTATTGGTCGGTATCCTATTGACTCACATATTGAAGTTTCAGTTGCTGTACGACAATTGAAATTTTGAAAATCAGAAAGTACTAGACGGGTGTTTCATATTGATATGGGATTCCGATACAATGCACATCTATCAATGAACTGAGGATTTTCAGTGTTGCGTTGCCTTTGAACCTTTGTGTCAGAATCATTTCCATAAATTCAACAGGCAAATTTCCTGTGTGATTTGTATCTGTTTTTTTTGTGTTGCATTTACACTATTTTTTTACTGAGGTGATAACTAAAACTCTTTAAATAATTTTGAAATGTTAATTTGTTCATTCTAATTTCACTCCAGCTACCTGTTTCCGTCTGGAATGCTAAATAGTGTACAACTTTATATCCCTCAGACCAAGAAGTATGATTTTTCCGTTTTGTTTCGGCAATTCGACACTATAATTATTGTAGAGTTATTCAGACACCCTGTATTTTTCATCTGTACAAAACTAGTTTTTATTTGTTTACATAAATATATTGATTTCCGTCGCATAGTTTCACTCATGACCTAGCTTTTGCTCTTTAAATTTAATAGTTTCTCGATTGTAGTCGTATGTTTCCTGGTTTTCGTGGTGGTTCTTTTAGTTTGTCATTATCTAATCCTGCCCTTTGTTTTTATGTACCTGTATGTATGGAATATTCAATCCCATGTATCATGATGATCGTTTTGGTAGTTATCCACACATTAGATCTGTCATTTATGCTAAATAAAGTGGTCTCAGCGGGTCGTGCCACAGTATAAAATTTCGGAATTCATCTACCTGATTGCATATTCTACTATATAAAAGAAGCATTATATTTTTTCTTGTTACTCATCTTATGTATCAGATTTTGTGATGCTCATTTTCGATAACGGTTTCGTTCTGGTGTGAAACTCGTCAGAGGTGCACACTCACAACCAAGAGTCCTCAGGTCTAGAGCGAGAGAATACTTAACGAATTAGCTCGTGGATTCTAGACCCAATAATATGTATAACAGCTTTAATCAATTTACGAGATGACAACGATTTTCATATGTCATTGGCGTTAATTGTTTCTTTGTCGGCACAGCCATTCAATGGAACTCAGTCAAATTAAGTTGCTACTAAAAACACGGTCATAGTTTTCATATTTGCACTAGAAACAAACCATCACATTACTCTGAAATGATTATGATTACTTTTTTTGTCTCATTTACATTCATGTTTTCAGCGTACTAAACTCTGGTTTATTTATCATAATTATTCGAATGTAAGAAACATTAGGATATCATTAAAAGTTCAACATTCCAAGTATAAAGTTCTCTTTATATATATATATATATATATATATATATATATATATATATATAACATTTTAATTAGACTTTAGAAAGAACTTGAATATTATCTCAAGTATTAGATCATTATAACAAATATGTATGTACACGCATAAAAAATAAAATAAAGCTAGCTTTCTTGTCATTATCATTATACTTATCATATATAGTTATCTCACTGTAGATTTCAATATAACAACTAATTGAGAATTCGACCTGATAATCAGTGAGTAGTAATTTACTCGAACACAAAATGACCGAAGAAAAAGAATCGTTTACTTTTTCTCACATATTTTAGTATATTTTGTTGGTTTCATTTCACCAAATATCTGTGTGTAAGTCGGATATGCTGTATCAGTATGAAAAGTGGTGGTAGTTATCGTCTTTTTAATGTTTTATTTTATTTTTATTTCTAATCTTGTCTATATATGTAACATGTTCACATGTCTGTTATTGTGTATGTATTGCAGTTACTGGTACTTCTATGATGTTTACTTGATTCACTAGTTTGTTTGTGGGTGTGTACTCGTCTAGTATCCTATGTGCATAAATATCTTTGTAATAAATGAAAGGTATGGAATGCTATAAAAGTTTAGAGAATCACTGATCGGTTTAATCTGTAGCGTACAGTAGGAGCTTAGCAGTTAAAAAAATTCGGCTTTCAATTACTGGGCAGCAGGGTTAGAACCCCACTCGATCCATTTTAGTTTAGGTAATATCACTAACCCTAGCATCTAAAGTGACTGCAAGCTAAGTGCACTAATCGGCGCTAAGTAGTCTGTTGTAATGAAATAAACAAATCTGCACACGTCTCTGAATATTATGTGATATATATCGTTGTCCGCAGCTGCAATTCAACTTGCTGACATTTTATTCTGACACTAGTTGATTTGAAAAAAAAATCAATTCGTCATCCTACAGAGACCACGATTCGTTCAATAATTTCATTCATATTCCTCCCCCTTTTAACCATAAGAGTATTTTTTGTTATTGTTATGGTAAATGTGCGTATTTCATATACTTAGTGTAGTTAACCTACAATGCAGCATATTATTCTTAAGTATAACTGCCAATGATTGGAAGATGTCGTTTAGCTCTAATAATTAAAGAACTCTGTTGGTTATTATTTAGCTCTCAATTCTTGAGAATCATTCATTTCTTTCCCATATTTATAGTAAAAGAATATTATAAGGACAAGTTAGTCGAAATTGAGAATATGACTTTTAAGTTTTCGCACCCATAAAAAGCAGTAGAAATACCTATGTAAACTGTTCAAAATGTTTAAAACGATGTCAAAAAATTACTTTTGTCACCATAAAGTAAAAAGAATACTATAAAGCGTATCAAATTCTCAATTCTATACTTACAGACTGTATATAACAGACAAATCGATACTATCCTTAAGTAATAACCCCTAATCTTGAAACAAAACTTAACCTGGTCGCATTACATTTTCTAGATGGACTAATCAGATAGTGCTTCATGGGTTTTTGAGCAAAATACGCTCATTCATTTGGCTACAGAGTATTTTACATCATAGCTGATGTCACACCGTAATGAAAATCATAACCCTCAACCTCTACTCCTGATCCTAATCAAGGACAATATAGGGATTCTTAAAAATCTATTTGGATCCTTACAAAAATTTAGGAAAACAATTCTGTAATCCGTAAGAAAGAGTTTAGTTTTCGATTTACAAACACAGCAATCTGTCAAAGACTTCAATAGACTGAATAATTACGTAAAAGCTGTCTATACTTTGTAGTATTATTGTTTTTCTTATCATAGATTATTCATCTACAAAGGTTGTTTTCTGATTGACTAAAAACTAGCTAAAAATCCAACTCCATTATTTTAGGTTCACTCTTACACTAAATATACTTTGGCGGGAAATGTTACATGGTAAAGTACTTGTGTGAAATATTTCTATCATCATTTTATCTCTATCTTATCAATTTTATTAATATTTTCACATAAGCTTTTTTCACCTGTTCAAAATTTCAAGTCTGGATTACCTGTAGTCGCTATAATTCACAAAATGATGTCGACTCACTATCTACATTGAGTAATCTGTTCAGTGTCAGTATAGTGGGTGTTTTACAGCACAGTAATAATCACTTTTTTGCAAGATATTTTTCAGTTATCTTTTATTGTTTTGTGTATACAACAACAACAACAATCCTTTTAGTTTTTACCCACCATGAATTAATTGTGTTTCGCTGATATATAGTCAACTAGTTTTTCTGATTAATTATTATCTACATCAAAAGTTAATTCCATATAATGTTCATTTAATACGTTTTGTATGTTATATTTCAATTGGTAGCAAATTGTGAAGTCCATTATATTCAAAATGGGTGGCATTCTTTGAATAGTTAATAATAATTAACGTATCTATTTTCCTCGATATAACTCCAAGTGAAGTTACTTGACTCTCTTTGATGCGAGCTTTATTGTCGCTAGTGTTTCCCAGTAATAACTTTAATTTACACACTTATTTGCTGACCATTGTGCATCACTGTAGTTGTGTATAGATATTTTTCCGCTTTATTTTCAAATATCTTTTTTTTCGTGATTTCATTCACCTAAAGAATATTTTATTAGTATGCATTAATTATCTGAGGTATATAGAAATTGTCTAAGTTTTACCATATAGTATAACAAAAATCAGTTAAGTAATAGTTTCTTTTTGCAAATTATTTGTTTTTTCATTTACTGAAAAGAATGTATCTAATGACAATTTCCATTTTTTTATTCCTTATGATAAATATTTATACAAATTAGTCATTAACTCCATCCTACCGAACGAAATTGGAACAATTTCGACGTATTTTTCGTGATACTCCTGTTGATACTGAACGACTACTTGTAGGTAGGTTATTGTAACTCATTATTATATTGGAATTTGTTAATATGACTAACTGAAATTCTTTATATGAACTCAGTGTATACTCTTTTACAAATAATGAATTTGTGTCATATTAGTTGGGCGATGACATAGTACCTAAGATATTCGGTTTCCATCCATTAGGTTGTAGATCCAAGCCCAGCTCCATCTACCGTGGTTTAAGCATCCGGATGGTATCACCAGCCTTGATGAGTACATAAATATATGCTTGGTGATGAGTTGCATATTAATTTATTGATTATTAATTATTTTAAACTCTGCTATCATGTATTGTAATGAAAATAATGATGTCGGTTATATTCACTGTTATTTAAATTAATAATATAAAGCGGTTAAAATTAAAAGGTTTATAAGAAAAGAATCAATAATTCCTATTTTTATATCAAATAGCATTTATTTTTATTTTCGTCACGTTAGTTTCATTTATTGTAAATAATATTGGGAGTCTTATGATGAATCTTTTATTTAGGTGTGTCAACGTTTGTTACTAGATAATTCAAGTCATCATTTTTTTTCCAAATATTAGATTCATCAGTTTGTAAACATTTGTATCGTTTTTCATCTATTTCTATTGACCTTTTACAAAGAGTTAGGAAATGTTTCTATGATCATTATTTTAATATACTGTAATGTGCTGAGCATGGCAGTGTTACGTTATAATATCCTTTTTCATTGTCACTCTTCTAAGAAGATATCATGTTATCTAGTTTTTTTGTTTCTAACTCTTAATTTTTTTTGTAAAGGATAACCTGTAGCTCATATTTCTACAATAACCTTTGCTGCTATATAATTGCATGTTTTCATCTTTAGTTTGCTAATTTTATCATGTATCCATGGTTTATTAGGTGTTATCATTTGAACAGAGTTGTTTCATTTCAATATTTGTCTTCTGTTCTATCTCATATAATCGTGTGACTTATTCACCTTCAAGCGCTGTTGTGTATTAGCTGCCATTCTATCAAGTTCACCGCAGAATCCGTTTAGATTAGGATATTTTCAATCCTTTTGTAATTAACACTTGCCGTGGTCTCGTACTGAATCTCAGTTTCAAGGTATAACACTTGCACATATAATTGCTAATTATCATCGCAAAGATCCGCTATTTGAGTGAGTGATTGTAAACAATTTAAGCTAGTATATGATTGAGTAATAATATCATTAAAAAATATGCTGTAAATTCACTCTCCTATGTAGAAGGACGTTAAAATGAAAAAAGATGCGTAACTCGCAGCTAATGCTCTTCGCTCTTTTGTCAGTGAGGAGGTTTATTAGTTTGAAAATCCTTGACTTTCATCCATCAATTTGTAAAAATAAAATACAGGATATAACTGTGGTATCCCAACGAGTAGAAAACTAAGTTTCTGACGCTTCGCGATTTCGTGTTGTAAGTTACTTCTTCAGAGCAAATAAATATTTCGTCTGTCTATCTTGTGATTTCATTTGACCATTGGAATTCATTTGTTTCTGTAGCCATTTTAACATGTGTTCACCCACCCTTACTTGCAAATCACGATTGCTCCTCTTTATGTACGTGTTTCCACACATACATGTAAATTGATTGACGCAATCGCTTACGTGCTGTTTGGGCTTTTGGTAAAACATAGACCTCGTCTTTTCACTAATGACAAGTCGGGCTGCATAAAATTTCCTGTTAATGGCTGATTTAAGTCTCCGTTTCAACACGAGACTATTTGAGTCGCCTCTAAATGGTAACATAATGTAAACTCGCTTTTTGGGTGCCAGAAGCGTCATAGGTCTAGTTGTATCGCAACCGTTCCAGCGGTTTATGAACTTCAAAGAATAATCATTATTCATTAACGTATCAGTCAAGAGCTTCGTCTCTACTTCAATAGTATCACTAGTACAAATACGATTGAATAAGTCCTTTATTAATCCACGTTTGTAATGAATTGGGCAGTGACTATTGGAAATTAAGATATTGCCCTGTCCATGTTGGCTTTCTGTATATAGAACGTTGGATGGAACCATAATCTCTTCTACTAATCAGTTTGTCTAGAAAAGAAAGTTGGTTGTTCTTTTCTTCGCATATAAGAGAAATATGTTTTTGACTTGTGTTAGGTTCTTTTAACAGACGGTTCAAATCTTCACGTTTACCCCCTATGATAATGATGTCATCAACGTACCGTTTATACAGACACATCTTTTGAATTGAGTCTTCAGCTAGATTTTCAACATATCCCATAAACACAGCCAGCAATAAGTATATGTGTGATCACTTTGTTCAAAATGTATTGCGCAAATATATCATATAATTCTGATAACCTTCGTCTTCTCATCGCATTATCGAAAGTTACGTCACTATTTTTATTATGTTCCGTTTCTTCGATAATTAAAACTTGATAATGCTACCTACACTAATCGATAATTTCAAAACGCATCCCACTTCTAGTTTGAACAACTGATTAACCCGGAAGAATGAAATATGTAATAGGTAAATGGGTTATATTGATGGATACGATTGTCACTTTCTCCTTATATCTATCCAGGTCACTTGTAGGTTTATATGGTTTTGAAAATTTTTATTACAATAATAATAATGATAATAATCGAAATGTGTGTACTACAATAATCATGTTTGCTCAGCAGAAAAAGTAATTGATTTGTAATAATTTCACCCTTTCAACTTAACTGATAATATTTAACATTGTCCATTGAGAAACATAATTTTATTCATAGGCAAAATGCCTTTCAAAGTTTATTAGTTTCATTACTAACTTTTCTGGGAATTTCAAAGATAGTTATAATCATGAACTGACCGTCAACTGGATCGAGTTAATTGTGCAAGTTTCTATTCATTGTTCTGAGTGCGTGAAAATTCTCTCTCTTTTTATAAAACAGTTAGGTTTTGAAATCCAAGATTCTACGTAAATTAAAAGTTGAAAATCTGCCTAACCTTGGTTTTATACAGTGAAATGAAATCTAAAATTGAGAGCAAATTTGACAAGCTCTTGGGACTGGAGTTATTTTTCTTTCTAGAAAAAAATGTTTTGATACTAATTGATACTATATTGAAACACATGATCGTTGTTCCAATTTATTAAGTATATTCTGCATACATCATTGGGAAATAAGTTGATGTAAGACAATAAACATTTTTGATAATGAACTTATTTAATAAAACCTGCTATAAGAGAGATGTGTATGCATTACTGAGCCATAGCTGAATTTAAATAAAAACGTTTTTATTGGAAATAAATCTTTACAATTTTTACCAGATACCTTATAAACATCATATTACTCCAAGATCAAAGGTCAATAAATAGAATTAGTATTATGAAAATTGGGTTTCAGCTATTAATTGAATACTGTTATGCAACACTGCAAACAGTATATTATTTGCGAAAGTTTATAGAGTTAGTAATACTGTTTCAGTATGTTTCATTTGTAATCCACGTACCGAAAAATATCGATATTCTTTTATTGTATTCAGATTCTGGAAACATAAAGACCAATTTCCTTAAATCTTTAAGCACTTTACAGAATATCCTGTGATGCAGTATCCCACTTGCTTATTTTAACTACAGTAAAGTCTTTTTGAGATAGATTTATGAATTAATAAAACCGTAAGGAATGAAATAAAATAGCGCATCACTCCAAGTGTGATGTGTGCTACTGATGTCAACAGGTATAAGTAATATGTACCACCAATCGAATGTAGAATGCCTGGCGGTAGAAGGTTGAGAAGTTCGGAGAGACGGGAACGAGATCAAAGAGTGATTGGTATGGAAATGAAGGAACAGTAGGGTCTGGGACAATTGATGGGCATTGTCCAAATGAAGTATTTACTGTATTGTTCTCAAATTTTACTAAGAGATGGAGAAACCATATAGCAAAAATATTAAGAGAAGAAAAGCAAAATAAACGACCTTATGTGACTTATCGACAATAAGTTCGTATTGCTATGATAAGGAATTGTTGCAGAATGCTCAGAGTTGGTTTTATCATCCACTGGTGGTACTAGCTGGTCAATCATTAAAAATCGGGTGGCACTAAGTTAACTGTTTTGTTTTTGTGTATGCTCTTACGCTATCTATCACATGATATCAAAATGAATACTTTTATGCTCTACGATGAGTATAGTATATTTATAAAACATTAAGCTGAAAATTAGAAGTTCGAATTTCCAAATTAATAAAGTTACTGGCTTCAAACTCTACTATCAAACCATGATTGAAAAACCACGTACCAAATAAGACAGATATATCACTTTTGGTATTCAGGGATGATGGTTAGGTTATTAGACTAATTGATCTATGAATTTATGGATGTAGACTTATGAAATGTCCTAAGTTAGGATGAAGAGCCATCCAGTTCTTTTTAGCTTTCAGTTTCTTCCCTGCTATTCAACTAATTATAAAAACAACTGTTAAAAGGGGCAAATATGTAACTCATTAGTGGTTTGTTGAGTCAGTTAAGTCTATTAATGTTTTAGGTTACATATATCCACTAGGTTATTGATTGATTTATGCCATTTACTACTCAGTTCTACGTGATTGACTTTGTTCAGGTAATTGAATTATATGCAACTGAATCTCATGTCGATATAGCTGTTAATTAGTGGTGGTTGATCGTTTGTGGATTTACCGTTAGTACATTGTCAAATTTTCGTCTTCAGTTTTGCCTTCTTCCCACCTAGTCATATCAGCAATTTCGACCTCAGTTATAATAAAGAGCCATTATTCAGTTACAACATCAACCACATAAATTACTTATCCATTATTATCTTTTTCTTCCTAAATTGTATCTGACTACATTTTCAGTAGTTATTCACAAAAATTTACAAGCATACATATATTCATAGATAAAATTGTTAAAAGTGGTATGATCTCATATATATATGTGTGTACATAATTTTAGCATATTCATATACATTTCTTTCTTTGAATCTTTTTATTCAAAGCAAGCTATTGTAATTTAATTCATTACGGTATAACATAGTTTTTCTTATTTGAAGTGTATGACTCTATTGTTTCTTTTCTTCATTGTTTCTCAAAATTGTTTTAATAGATTATTCATGTGCTTTATCTAAGAATAATAATGGTCTATTACTGCAAGGTCGAATGTACATTACTGAAACATGGGTGTGCTTTTACTCAAAAATTCTATACGAACAGAAAGTAATTTTATTTTTCATTTATGTACTACTACTGATGCATGAGTTTTTATTTATTTCAGTTAAAGCTTTAAAACAGAACTGACGTTATTAGAAAAAAAAACGTTTAAGACAGTATAAATTTATTGTATCATTTCAAGTGTAGTATATCTTTGATTGAGTGGATTAATTAAAATATTTATAAAGAAAATTCATATATGCTCTGTTGAATAAATACACAAACTGAACTGCTTCTATGTTCATTGGAACTTGAGAAAAACCCAGGAAATATTAAAGTCATTATGAAGAGGATAACTCTCTTCAGGTGAATTGAACTTTTTCGTCGATGATTGTGGAGACTGGTAGAACGATCCAAAGTTATAACAACTTCGGACACCTTTTTTGATTTAAAGAACATCAAATATTTGGATTTTCTACCGTTTGTACAGTGTCTGAATGATTCCTGATGAACTGAAATTTAGATAAATCGTCTGTGCACAATATTTTGTGTTCCGAAAAAATATGAAACAACGGAGCTTCTTAAAAGCCTAGCTTCTGAGGATGTCCGGGGATGTCTTAAACAATGGGTTTGGGATTAAGTATATTGTTACAAGTTGGGATTATTTTTAATTAAAGATATATCAGCCATATATTTTGCAAAGGATATATGCCGTTAGCGTTATTTATCATACAAACTGCTCATACTGGATAGAGGTCTTAATAATTTACTTTGAGTTAATTTGATGTGAATGTTGAACAAGTTCGTTTAACGTATCAAAGAGTGCATACGTTTTTTCTTGTCCAAATATAATCCATGATAAGAAAGAAATTTCTACAAAGCATTTGACTTTATGTGTCATTCAAGTTTAGCGAGACCACTGAGTTGGTAATATTGTGATCAGTTGTAGGTCACTAGATAGAAATGATGCGTCTAATGATGAGTCTGTAAACTGTCATCTATTTAGGTAAATGACATGTTTACCAACTGTATATGTTTATTCATCGTCTTTGACACATTACACTGACTACGATATAAAGCTGTTGAATTTGATTTGAGCTTTATTTATTGTTTGAAGGATTATTATATTACCTGATCACATTAACCTAATTAGGTTGAAGTGAATGAAATCCATTTGAGCTCATTACTCACTTACTTACGCCTGTTAAATTTCGTGGAGGAGCGTAGGACGCCCACCAACATTCTCCATCCAAGTCTGTCCTGGGCAATCCTTTTCAGTTGCTATTTATCCTATTCCTGTCTGTTTCCACTTGTCGGCGCTGTGTGTTCTTTGGCCTTCCACTTTTCTGTTTACCTTCGATTCCAAGCTAGCGCATGCTTCGTGATTCAGTTCGATGATTTCCTCAATATATGTCTTATCCACTTCCAGCGTCTTCTTCATTTCCTTCTCAGCTGGAAGTTGGTTTGTTATCTCCCGCAGTGGGCTGTTGCTGATGGAATCCCGTCAATGGACATTGAGTATCTTGCGTAGAAACTTGTTTATAAATACTTGTACCTTTTTGATGATAGTTGTGTTAGTTCTCCAAGTTTCAGCTCCATTATAGTAGCACTAACTGTCTTGACGTTCGTATTAAAGATTGTGACTGATGTCGGTTAACAGTTGTTTTGAATTCCATATGTTATTCAACTGTAGGAATGTGGCCATTAATTTGCCAGTGCTTACCTTTCACATCAATATCAGATACCCCTTGTTCACGTCTCTCAGAGTTCCACCATCAGATGTGATTGGGTTGGTGTTTTCTGTGTTGTATTTCAGGATCTTACTGTTTCCCTTGTGTTTGTCGAGGTCTACTGCTTCAGAGGCTTCCTCTACAGTGGTTGTCTTGATCTGGATTTGTTCATGTGTATGGTTTTAGAAGGGCCAGCTCGTCTGCGAAGTTCAGATCGTCTGGTTTCATGCAAGCTGTCCATTTTATTCCGTACTTCTTCCGAGATGTGGAGGTTTTCATAATCTAGTCAACCACCCGAAGAAAGCGGAATGGGGGGAGTAAGCAGCCTTGTCTGACTCCGGTTCTCACTTGGAACCTGTCTGTCAGCTGTCCTCTATGCATGACTTCGCAGTGTAGTCTGTCTTATGAATTCCTTGTGATTTCGCCGATCTCAGGTACACCATAGTGTTGAAGAAGGTTCCATAATATTCTCCTATCTACGTTGTCAAGCGCTTTCTCGTAATCAAGGAAGTTGATGTATAATAACGAATTCCATCCAATCGATTGCTCAACAATGATGCGTATTGTCTAGAATTAGCCTGTGCATGACCGATCGTTACGGAATCCGACCTACTGATCTGGAAGCTGAGCGTTTACTGATTCTTTCATCCGGTTCAGCAACACTTGAAAACGTTTCTTGGTACCGACGATAGTGTGATTCCTCTGTAGTTCTTACATCTGTTCGGATCTCCTTTCTTTGGTATCTTCGTGAGTTATCTTTTTTTCAGTCTGTGGGCAGTAGTTTTTACTTCCAAATCTTCCTGAATAGAACGTCGATCAAGTTTGCAGTTACTTCTCTGTCTGACTTCAGTGCCTCAGCTGGTATATTTTCTGGCTCTGTTGCCTTCCAACTCTTGATTTGTCTAATAGCTATCCTAATTTCTTCGATCATTGGTGGTGTAACATCTCTAGGAAAGTTTGTGTGTGCAGGTTCGACGTCCAGTGAGTTCACTGTGGCCACCTATTCAAGAGTCCCTCAATGTATTCTACCCACCTGTCTCAGTGATTATCTTGCCTTCTTTATCTTTAACCGGTCACTCTGGTTTACTATATCTCCTTGCCAGTTTCTTCGTTGTGTCATACAGTTGTTTCTTATTCCCTTTTCTTGCAGCTTTTTCCGCTGTTGTTGCTAGGTCTTCCTCGTATTCCTGCTTGTCAGATCTAGTGCTCTTCTTCACTTGCTTGTTTGCTTCTGTGTATTCAGCTTGTGCCTTGACTTCCTCTGTTCTTGTTCGGCTGCTGTTAATTGCTGTCCCTTTGTTCCATTCCTTATGATGATGTCTTTTGCGGTCCAGAACCTCCTGACACGTTGAAGTTAATGCTTCTTTGATACCCTTCCAGTTGTCCACCATAGTAGTTTCTTCTTCCTTCAATAGATCCTGTAAGGCTTGGAACCTGTTGTTGAGAGCTATCTTGAATTCGTTAAGTTTGTCAGTATCTTGAAGGAAGACTGTATTGCAGTGCTGTTTTTCCACTTCTTCAGTCTCATCTTAGTAACCACCTTGTTGTTATGCGGCACATTTTCTTCGTGACCAAAGTACAACGGCACCCTAAGCGAATCTAGCTTTTGCTGTCCAGCTTGGGTCCAATGTGTTTTACTTATTCTGAGCACCATCAAGTTGTATCTTCTCATTTCCGTAACTATTTGATTGGTCATCCTCATATCTCACATTGTCCGGGTATTCCATGTACCTATATTAATTGTTACTCTATTTGTTAGAAAAGGACATCAACCTCGTTGCTTCCGAAGAATCTCGGCTTTCACCATGAAGCGTCATAACTTTTCTAACTGATGATCCTTCAACTCGGAGGGTAGAGTTCAAATAGTTTAATTTGTTTGTTCCGGTCAGCATTTTTTCAAAAAGGTGTTTTCCTACGGGATGAGGTCGCTGCTCTCATGTACAACCCTCTTCTTTTAACCAGTCTTGAGATCGGCAGTAACCCTAGAAGAGCTACAGGTAGAGTTATTTGAGTTTATTGTTGCTGTTTACTTCATCGAACTGCTGGTCGTTCACATTTAGTCCATTTAACACAATTATCTATTCTCTTTTTTGTGGAAAAACACCATTTAGAAAACAATTGTTGTACTTGTAATACTTGTGAACTACTTAGGTTAATATATTATTTACTGTTTTTCACAAGAAACACAATTCTAAATGCACTCCATTTATTGATTGAGGTCAATTATATGCATTGATTTCTGGTCATCTGATCTCCACTGGGCTTTTTTTGACAGTTCAGTGTTTATATATATATTTATATACATACTTGATTTTTTTCTACTGGTTTATTGAGGTTTTCTATGGTTTTTTATGATTACTATTAGTAATAGTATGATCGCCTTATATATGACATTGAATCTTGTCAGTTTAATTGGTTTTTCAAATGAATATTGATTTATTCGAAAACAATCAATATTACCTGTTCTCGGAATGGTGCTTTCATTAGAGAAAAAGTAATGGGGTTGAGTGTGAACAGTAAACAAATATTTAATATATATACAAAATAGAAGTTCAATAAACGTTATTGTCGACGTTTGGTTGTTACGTTAATTTATGCATATCTAATGACTAGTCTATAATGTAACATGCTGAGTTGTTATACTGTGAGTAATGATTATGTATAAGTGTAAACCAATTCGTTTCTGTATTTAAGTGTTGAATATTAGTAATGGTACATTGTTAATCAGATTGTGGCATATAAACTGATTAACTAATCATCTGTATGTAATCAAATTTCTTGGATATCAAAGATTACAGTTTTACATCATACAACTGAAACGTTTATCTGATTCATTTCATTTTGTACAAGCTCTGGCCTAATAAGTAATCCTAAAAAGTGAAAAACATAACCGTCACCTAAATAAAATGTCCTCGTAGAATTGACTTGTGAATCTCTGTTTAGTGCGGTGAATATTTTGTACGGTGGTTTGCATCATGGATCTTACAAACAGTTAATCTGTTATTCATATTTAAATATACTATTATGATCTTTGGATTATGCTTCCTTAAGAAGTGAATATCTCTTGCTTTCACATTTATATTTATTGCTCATCATAATTTTAGATATTTTTGGCCGTCAATGAGATCGTTGCAATTACCAAAGAGAAAACCGCTCGTGTTATACCAAATGCGATCCAAATTTTATATTCTAAAAATCATGAACGATTTTTCTTCACATCATTCGCTTCCAGAGAACGATCTTATGCAATATTACGCAAAGTTTGGGAAAATTGTCGTAATCATCAGGTAAAGTGTGCGAAGGACTTAAGGATATATGTTTTAATTAGTAACTGTTAGTCTTCGGTTTATTTTCGTTTTTTCTTTCTACCACAGCTCTATGTTTGCTTTATTAGGTAAGCTTATTATTCACGTAATAAATAAGTCCACTGTAAATGACTTGATAATAGTAAGAAAACTATATTATTGCGAAATGACATCAATACAAATTTAAAACTGAAAATTGACAATGTGAGCTTACACAGTGAGTGGTAGTATCTACTATTATTTACTCCTATTACGTATTTAGATGTTTACTTGTTATACTAAACAATACCTTTCAAGTATTACCCCTTACTGTTTGAATGTATTTTCTTAGTAAAACCTAATATTCCTCATATTTATGGTTACTAACGTTGTTGTATCCGTAAATTGGCTGAATTCCCGTACTAGAATTTCTTGACTCCTTTAACACTTTTTTTCACTGATGGAAATCCACTTTTCATGTGAATTTCATCCATTTTCAATTTGTAGATCATTTTTATATTCATATGATAAATGATATGGTAATTTACTGTGGCGGGGGTGTTGTTTACGAAAATGAGAGGACGAAAAGCGAATGTTCGGCGCTTTAACCGGATTCCAAACCAATGGTGCACATGGGCACCAGTATCCTGCGGGAACAAATGGCGTATGAACCAATTTTCGGTCACCGGCTACCATGGGACTGCATCTCCTTGCGATGCTCCACTGCCTCGTGGGTTAGACCTTTAGGTCAAAGGCTCGGGGTGTGGCCCCCTAAGATAACCACCTGCTTCGGTCTGGGCACCCGGGCAGTAACGCAGCCCACACGCAATTAATGAACTGAAATTGTGTGGCGCATATATGTTTGGCGCACTCTTGTACCAATATATATGTGTTCAAATAAATAAATAAATAAATTTACTGCATATGTATGCATTACATTGTTGATAAGGTATTCCTGTCTTCTTCCATCTATATTTCTTATCAAGAGATTAGTTGTAGAGAAAACATAACCATGCACTCAGTTTAGTTTGAAATGGTTTGTATTATCTCGGAGTGAATTACCTAATAATTGAATATTGTTTTCGATTAGATCCTCGTCAGGCTTTACTCTAATATACAGTAATGGGAAATAGATGTCCTAGATTTGATAACTCTTTCCACTGGAATTTAGCCTTGAAAGCTAAATATAATAATGTAAACACGATTATTATATAAACAAATGATTATCTTAATAATCTTTTTCTAAATACTTTCATATTATATTATGAAGTGTGAACATCTTAAAATGTGAAATGTAAAATTATGTTCACTCAACATAGTTTAATGACTTTCAACTGTAGTTGTTTATTGTGAAGGGATGTCAGTTGGAAATACTATTATAAACCAAATGTGTTTTATTTTTTCTAATGCATGGTGGATCAAATAAACTCTCGTTGATCGGGTTATATTTATACCATTCAGAGAATTATATGCTTAATATACTTGTTCAACTTATAGGGTCGAGATCTGTTTACATCCTTTTACTTGTTTTATTAGTCAACTTAATGGAGTCAAATATTTTTACTTCCATAAAGTCTTTTTTTCTTATTCATTCATAAAACAAACTCATAGTGATTTACGATGTCACAAGTCCGCTTTATACCAGTTTCACTTTAATCCTACTCAGTATACATAGATTTCTTCGATGGTATTCTGTATGTCATAATGTTCGAGCATTGAAATTTACGACCGACAAATTTGAACTAGAAAAATAAAATAAACAAACCCACCGAAGAAATTGGTAGATAATCGCGCAATATCGTGGATTGGTTGAAGTTTGACATTTACACTATTGGATCCCGGCTTAGGGGTTTAAAGGTTACATGTTTGTGCGTGAAATCAAAGGTTCTGGGTTCGACTCACGCTTGAAGGGTTGTGGATACGTACTGCTGGAAAATCCCATACTAGGACGAGACGCCCATCTACTGCTTCAAGTTTTTTAATCGCGGTTTAACATTGATTGGTTAATGATTTCAATGCAAAAAATCAACACACCCCACAACCCCCCACATTGAAAATAAATTAGTATTAAAGAACTATTGCAATTTCCATCTACATTAAATTATAAATTATTATGTGCTTTTAAAAGAATTATGAATTATGTATCGTCACGGTTTTGCCACATATTTATACGTATTCATTCAATTTTGATTCATAATACTTATTTAATATGGTTAAAATAATTCTATCGGGTTACTGAAACTGAATTAAGTGGAGTAGGGTCTCGATGTTGTTTTTAACTTCAATTAATAGAAAGTACCGTCGATCGATAACTGTTTTGCTTTCTGCCACTTCCTTATTTGGATTTTTCGACTATTTTTTAATGATTTCGATAGGAAAAAGTTGAATTTTTCAACCAATTATAATGAACAGTGGATAAGTAAATGATGATGTTTTTTTTTCAAGAAGCAACCCATAGTGTTTACAATCTTTGATTTAGTCAACAGTAATTATGCGCCTGAATTCCCTTATTTATTTCATATTGTTTTGATTCTCTAATCATATATATTACCAGTACATATGTACATATATACTTGTAAACATAGAAATGAATACATCGGTTCATTGGTAATGTAATAAATAGTCTTTTCTTTAAAGCACATGAAATACTTGTCTCTTAGTCATTAATATCGAAATCTTTATCTTTTCCCGGTGTGAAAACACAAGACACTTGTACAAATAAATCAGGTAAGCTATGCCTGTTGCTATTATTATTATTGTCGTTTGCCGTCTAACATTGTGTTGATAGATTGAGTTTATCCATACACTACATGTTTCTTCCTCTCTCTAACTTTTTTCTCCTGTTCCTTGTAAATAACTTTTTAAAAATATACACTTTTCTCGTCTCTAACTCAATTGCTCTGAATTTTATTCAGGTTTACAAAATTTTTTAGTCTTTCAACTATAACTTGTAAAGTTGTTGGTTGTTTTTCAAAGTCTGAAACTCACTAATAACTGTTTTTCGTTTTGGTTAACGCTCTACAGTTTGTGGTGATATTGAAACTAAACGTATTTTGTAGTGAGAAACTTGTCAATGTCAGCTATAGTTTTGCTTACAAAATGGTGGAATATAGTTAACTAATGAACAATTTACTAGAAATTACCGGTGTTATTCTCAGCATATATATATATTCTTATATTTCACGCTATTTCGTACTCGCTAGTTCTGTGTCCGTTTTTTCTATTTTCCAGTGTGATAGAAACTTGAAATCCTCCCATTTTTATATTATACGTATCTTCTTGACTGAATTATTTAACTGTAACTAATTAACGACAAATGAATAAGAGGGAGGAGTGGCATGGAGTCAACCGAGATTGTGAATTTTTCTTTTTTTTGGTATTAATGTTTATAGCTTGTGCAAGGACTGTGTATCTTGTTTTCAGAACATTCACTAAATTTATGTTCAGTAGTCGTATTTCTGCTGTGTTGTGTAATTTCTCTTGGTCGTCTGAAATTCTCTTCATTTTTATACTTTTGACTGACATAATAGTTACTAAACAACTTAACAGTTAAGGAACTTGACTTTCGACATTAAGTTCCAGATTTAGACATCGGCTTGGGTTTGGATAGACAGACAGGTATTGTCTTAGTTATCACGTATTCTGTTATTACAATTCATATACTGAAACTTACACAGTTATAGTGTTTATTAGAACTGATTCACCATGTTGATCGTTGAAACTAACTTTTATTTTTTATCTGCGGTATATCACCTTACAGTAAATTCGTATCAGTTCTCAGGCATTGATTTTTATTCCTGATCGCTTCCATATAGATTTATCAATTCGTTTGATCCTGTGATTTGTGTTCTATCCAAAATAGTTCAGGAACATTATCCAACATGATTGTAATGTGTCGATACCGAATCTATTAGATCTGTAGTTGAAGTGATAGTGTATCATTATAGATATTTAGTTAAAATTTATAAAATTACATACTCCATAGATTTTCTTTCTAGTTTGTGCTCTATATCTAACAGGTTTACTGGTTATGCAACTTCATCGTGAAAAACAGTGAATTGTTTTAATTTCAGCCTGAATTATTTGCTACCTTTGTTTAGAAAAATCCTATAAATGCTTTGAGCGTATCTTTTTAATCTCAATCATTTTTAAGACATATTCCAATTAAAATCTTAACAATAAAGAACATACAAAGGATGCAGTGTTATGTGACCTGAGATTCAAAGTAACCTGAATAGCTGTCTAGTATCGCATGTGATTGTAAAGCAGGATAATATAGGCCCCTATTCCATGTGGAACAATAATTCCGTTTAGACTGCAAGTATATCCTTTGTAAGGTACGTCAAATAGCTTGAAACCTGGGTAATTGGCTTCCTGTTAATCGCCTTTAATCACTTGGACTAGTGGCTATGTTGTAACTTGGATTCAGTCAGCACTAAACACTAGAGATATATGACATTTCTTACCACCGTGTGATTAATTAATGAAAATATAGACAAAGAATTAATTATCACGTATACGTACTAAAAAGATTACTTTTCCTAGACTCAATAGAGATAAGGATTATCAGATTATCGAATGATAAGCTCAAGATTTGAATACCATTACTGATATTTCTGACCTTTGGTTTAATATTAATCAGGTTCGTCTATTGAACAAATAATAAAATTAGTTATCTTGTTTTGACATGAAACTAGTAGTGTCATCAAACTCTTGAAGTGTTTTTTTTAAGGACATATTGCCCATAGCTTTTTTTGTAGTGAATGATAATGTGATACAGTTTTCGAGCAATCAGCTGAAGCCAGTTTCTCAAAAGAACACTGGTTTATGATTACTTTTTTGTATTTGATCAGAAAGAGTTTTTTGTGCTTTAAGTAACTTGTAATTATTGAGTTATCTAGGGCTAAACTATATAGATAAATGAATAAGCGTATATTAATTATGAAGAAACTTTGTACTTTTCAAACTGTCTGTTGAAATTTGGCGGTTGACAGGTCTATTTACTATCATTTCTGTCCCATCAAGATAATTAAACGTCTATTTCGTTTGTTATTTTGCTTGTGAACAACTCACTGAAAATAATACATATGAAAGAATAATTTGATTCGCTTTTTCTAGCTCGTTGTAAGAAGATTGTTTGCTGTAAATTCGGTTCAGGTTATTCAAAACATTTTCCACTTCATTGTATTCAGCACTTTGATCGTTATTTCTTTTACTTAGTAAGTAATAGCTTATTATTAGAGAGGAATATCCGTTAAGTATTTCATTTCAAACTCTGGTTTGAATTAGTGTATTTTTCTTTCTCACTAGACATTAACATTTTCATGGAACATCTTATTTGCTTGCAATAAAATATTTGTTTTACATTACACTCTAATATACTTTACTTATCAAATAGAATGAACAGAAAAGTGAATGTTGTACCTGGTATATCGCATTTAATGAACATTCAGAAAATGTTCCAATTAATCTCACCATTAAATTCTTTCTGTTCTCTAAAAAATAGTGTAAATTACTTTTATGATAATTCAATAGATTTCAGAGTTAATTAAGCTAATGCTGTGTTTATGTCAGACTACGTTGGTCTTGATGTTTATAATCATTAGAATAGTTAACTTTCCAATCTCCGTATCTGTATACATGTGTGTGTGTGTTTATTTATCTTTGTATGAAATATCGCGAACTATAGATTTTTGTTCGTTGGCTAACACCATCAAGAACTTGTATAATTATGTTCTTATCATGCAATATAAATGACAATTTTATTTAAAAAACATCTTCATTCCATTGCCAATCTGTCACATAATACGTAAATAATTAAGTTATCTTTTCATTAAAATAGTAGGTTGCCTTATAAAATAACTTTACATACATGCCAGTTTTTTAATGTTTTGTTTAATTGTTTCATATGTTTCTATGATGGTTACGATCTTGGATAATTACTACCAAATCTCCTCATTTTGTACATAGCTAATTTGATTCTTGTATCGTTCCAATTCATGTAGAAAAAGTTATAGAATTAACGAAGGTTAAGTTCTTTTCGTTAACCGTAACTCAACTTTTCTGTTGTTCAACATAATTGTTAGTCACAGATTAGTTATATTCTGTGAAGAATTCAACTTTTAAAATTACTTTGTATGGAAACCATAATGTTTACTTGGAAAAAATATAGTACTTTCAAACAAATTTATTAGTCACTCTTAGTGGATGTTTACGATAATTTAACTAATCCTGCAAAGTGCTTGATATGTCAATTTAATTCATTGAAAGCACAACTGTACAACTAAGTTAGGACGTAAGAGAGTGACGATCAGATTGTTTACTACTACAATATTCTCATGTACCACGAAACAATTCTTTGAACTAGATTGATTTGTTAGTTTTCCAACAAGGAACAAAATCTTATCGATGTTGTACTATTACTCAAGTGAATTATATTATTCATATTTTGTATAGAAATATCCTCATTTTGTCTTTTTTCATATCTTCAATTGTTATATGTTAAATATAGACAATGAGCATTGATGAAATATTACAACAAATACGTGATATGTATGGTGATTATAGTTTAGCTATGGTTGAAGATGAAGAAGATACAGATGGTGATGCTGAATTAGTGCCGACTACTTTTCCTCATATGGTAAGTTAATTCTTGTTGCTATTTGTTCCACATTTTCTATTATACTTGTTTTTGTCAATAGTTGATACCAACTGGAATATTAGCAATGGATAGGTATTCCGTCTTAGTATGGAACTTGTCAGTAGCAATTTACACTTATCATCACGTCAGAAATTGTACCTAAAACCTCTAAGAAAATATTTCCTTTAGCTAATGAGTCACAACTCAATAGTTTACATTTTAAGCTTCTCTTCTCTTCGATATAGTCAGATTTGATGCCATCGTTATATAACAACCCCATTCCGTACACATCTGAAGCTGATCATCTTTGATATCTGACTAGAACTTTGAAAATGAATCTCCAAGTCATTTAGTTCTAAATACATACATAAGGTTTTGCCAAGATTAGTTTTGGTTGTTTTATATCATGAAACAGTACTAACTAAGGAACAGCTGAAAATCAGGGTGCACCACAAAGCTGTTTCTCCTTTGTATGTGTCCATCTATATATTTGTTTTTCTCTGTTGTAACTCAAAGAATACCTCATTTGTTATCGACATAAATTTGTCGGATACCAATGGATACAAAGTTTTTGTCTTGGAAAAAGTAACTATTTTGATACTACTTATGTAGTCACTTCTTTGTTATTTAATGGTATGGTCGGGTTGGTTATATGGTAGTTCAAATTATCTTTCGTATGATCCAAAATGGGTTACCCACACTGAATAACTCTTTGATTGGTGATACTAGTTTGAAATTTATAAGTTCTTATGGCTTTGAATTTTTTGGTCCAAACAACTATCTAAAACGGTCATATAAGTTTTGCACTTAGTGTTCCAAGTCTGTTTTGATGATGTACTTCGAAATGTTCTTTAATTCCCAGGCTCTTGATGATTTATATTATTTATAATGTTTTAAGTAGTCTGTAGGTAGCTATAGTTTCCACGCTCTCCGATTTCTAGTTACATTCTTTATATGAGATTTAAGAAATGTTAACAATTACTGTTTCCTAATTTTGCAAAAGCCTACTAAAGTTTAGTTATATGACCATGGCATTGTTTAGTGCATCAGACAATCATTGTCACTAGTTTCATAACATTTTTAAGTTTGACTTGTCCTTTGGTAATTGTCAACTTGTCTTGAGTGTCCAGTTTTGTGACATAGAGTCGCAGAATGTGGTGCAGGTAAAGATTGACTTCAACAGTCGTGTACTTTCTTCACCAAAGATCACTATAAACCTAACATAAATGCAAAACTCCAGAGGGGATAGAAGTTCTGAGATCTCAAATGCAAATGTACTGTAATCTGAACAAGTCTCAGAAGATCATCTGTTTTATTCGATCTGTGTTACTTATTTCGTATCTGTCTTTACACTTTCTTTTACCTTAACTAAATACTAAAGGTTGTTTAGAAAGCTTAAATTTTATTGAATCGGTCTCTTACAAATAAAACTAACAGTTATATTATGTAAATAAATGTTATTCTGTGACCGACCAAACCAATACGAATTCACCCCTTATACTAAGTGTCGCAATGATATCGACAAGGTCAGGCGCTACTGCTTCAGAACCTATAATAAATTTCATCTGTCTAGCATATACAATGAAACAATCACTGATGAATAAATTTCTAGACATCACAACATAATTAAACATATAATCTCCATTATTGGAAATCTGTGTCAGTATGTAGAGTTTTCCATGTGCCTAGGTATCTCATCAAAATCGCTCTGATCTTTAATCGTTAGCTTTTGTAATGTAAACTTTCTAAGATAACTGATGGCAGTATCCATAGTTCAAATGTTCTACGAACAAGTTGATGATTCAGATTAACTTGCTAAAATGTTGTGGCCATATTTAGTGACATGCCCAATTTTATTTGCGAATCATTGTTTTCTTTGACATGAAAACGTTTACAGACTAAAAGTAATAAAGTTTACTAGGGTTTTTTAGTACCTACCTTCACTATTTCATTACATTAAAAACTTCATTATCAGTTGACGAGAAGATTTAAGCACACGTCAGTTTATATTATATTTCTTGTCTGCTACTATGTTAAATATGAATGCAGACTATGTTTATCAGTCAGTCAGTAACAACGTAGAACTTCGTAAGTACGTACATCAGTTCGAGTCGCCATACCACATTAGCACAGAAATGCAGTTGTCGATCCAAATCCCACAGTGGTAGAGGTAGTAAGAGTATAAACAGTAATCGGAAAGATTGGGGTTTGAAGATGTTATTCAAGGAGTATAACCCAATGAAATAAATTTGGAAAGAGGAAAAAAGGCACATGAAGAATTCAGAAGATTAGAATTTTGGAGAACACAAAGAGTGGATCCACATGCGCCATTGCAAACGATTTTGAGCCATGTTATTCAAGGTTTCTAACCATCGGTCGCTATCATCTCGCGATCAACAGAGCCTTAAGGCCGAGAAATACTACGATTGTGGGACGTCTGAATGTGTGTCTATGTTCTAGGACCTGATGTAGTGTGAATATCTGGTCTATACAACCACGTCCAGATCGAAAACCAGCTTGATTTTTCTAGTCTCCTCTTCACGAGCTTTAGTTAGGCGTCGAAGTATTATTGAGGCTAATATTTTAGACACTATATTAGTCAAACTGATTCCTCTGAGATTGTCATAAAAGGAATTTTATCCTTTCTTATAGACTGGCACAATCAGTGATTGAGACCAGTCAGATGGGATTACATCGAGTCCCCAGATTCTACCTAAGACCTCAGTCAATCTCACTGCTAATATTGGACCGCCATCCTATTTTTATCATAGTTATCTAAAAGATTTTGCTTTGGTGTTAAACTAATTAGATATTTTGTCCAGTCTCATTTAAATCGTGCAATCGTAAATTTGCATACACGTACAAAATAATCTAGATTGCCGTTTTGATTTCCATTTTATTTCTCAACAACTTATGTATTGCATATTTCAACTAAATGCTTAAACTTTGAATATTTCATATAAATAAACATTGAAAACATACAAATTGATGGGATGTCTTAACTTGAATAACACACAACGAATTATTTAGATTATAAAGAAATTTTAAAGTGAATTATTAAACAATATGTCTACTTACACAATATGTTATAAGGTCACTTCGAACAATGTTAGCCTTAATCTAATATATGGTCTTTCGAATAGTTAACATAAACAAATGCACCCATATTCTTTATTTTTAAAAATAACAAATAACCTCAAACAGTGATTCTACTCATCAATCATATATTTAAGGTTGTGTAACGGTAATCATTGTTATCGGTTTCTTAGTGTTAATCGAACTTTATCGATTTTATTTGTTAATGTAGCCATTTAAATCACAGTGTTTTAACATTGTGGCTTATTTTCCTTGTTGTGAAATGATGATAGACGGTTTAAAGATTCTTCTCAACAAACACAATTCACCGAGTAATTGATGTTAAACATAATAATAATGGAATTTAAATTGTTTAATGTGCAGAATATAAATTAATCTGATATGTACTAATAGTGTATACTATCAGCAGAATACAGTTTTATAATAATGCGATAACAATTTGACTTGTCATGAAATAAATCAATGGAAAGTTTGCAGTTCTAAAGATAACTAAAAGAAGATTAATAATGTTTAATACATCATATTGTATTGGAATTAACATGAATTTTATTCAAATAAACGGTTGTTTAAAGTGTTCTAATCACTGGCACTGATTCCGATTAAACCAATGGTAAATATCCATGCTTACTGAATAATCACTATGCCTTAATTTGAATTAACTCAATAGCATGTGTACATAAGATTGAAAATAAAGCTTTCAGATTGCCTGATGGAAACGATATTATTTAGTTAATGATTTGCGATCCAATGATGAATTCTCCTATATAACTGTGAGTATCTTATGCTTTAGGGTGTTGAATTAAGGTAAAACATATTTTGGAAATTTCTCATCTGATAACAATCTGTTGTGAAATCTGTTTTCTAGCTTAACTGAGATGGTTGTATACAATCTTCACTAACTAGTAACTCTTTCAGACGGTGGAAGAATATTTTTAAAAATACTAACTGTTACATTTGTGCATGATTTTACGTTAAACACGTATATTTGAGGAAACTTAGCATAAAGCGTTGTTATTATAAACCTAGGTAAGAACACATAAGTTGTATGAAATAAAATAGTTTCTATGTATTCACCTTTAAGATGTTCAGACTGTGAGATATCTGATGAAAAATCAGTAAAACTGGAGACAAGTGTAAGAAGTAACTGTATATTTTTCATAATCCAGTCAACTACCAAAAGAAAGAGTAAGGGCTACAGTAAGCAGTCTTGTCTGACTTCGATCCTCACTTGGAACATGTCTGTTAGTTGTCCTCTATGCATGACTTTGCAGTGTAATCCGTCGTATGAATTCCTTGTGGTGTTGACGATCTTCTCGGGTACACCATAGTGTTGAAGAAGGTTCCATAAGGTTCACCTATCCACATTGTCAAGTGCTTTCTCGTAGTCAAAGAAGTTGAGGTAAAGTGACGAATTCCACTCAACTGGTCGTTCAACGATGATCCAGAGTGTCACGATTCGGTCTTTTCACGACCGATCTTTACGGAATCCGACCTGTTGATCTAGAAGCTGAGCGTTTACGGATTCTTTCATCTACCTGGGTGAGTTGTAAAACTGGTTTCAAACCTGTGGTGTACATGAGCTCCATGATCCAGAGAGGACAATTGGTGTATGAACCTATTGTTGGTCACCAGCTACCATGGCACTGCATCTCTTAACATAGCTCCACTGCCCTGTGGATCAGACCTCTAGGTCAAAGGCTCGAGGAGCGGCTGTCTAAGAAAACCTCCTGTTTCGTTTTGGGCGCGCGGGCAGTATTCCAACCCTCACACAAATCAAATGATGTGTATATCGCATATATCTGGTGCCTCCTTGTACCAGTGTTTGTGTTTAAATAAATATTGTACTTAACCATTCTATTTGTTTAACCTTTAATTATCCTAGTCACCTACTCAAACAGTAATGAAGTGGAATTCAGACCTGAATTTATAACTTTATGATTGTAAATCAAACTATCTAACTATCAAGTTCACTTTTCTTCACTAGGTCACTGACATAAATTACTTCTCAAAAAGGGCGTCGTTTAGGACTCAACTCTGATAATCCACTTATAAGGTAACCGTTTCCCACTACGAAGTTTTAGTTACCTGTTATAACATTTTATTGTACTGGACAATTCATTAGCATCAGTAGATTACACGTTAAAAAAAACTAATTGTTTACAAGGCTAAATCTAACTTACAGATTGGTAATCTGTGTTTATTCATCTGATTATACTAATTTATGTCATCAATAAAATATTTCTAATATTCTTAAAGTATTTAAATACAATAATTTTAAATTGTCAAATAAACCTTCGTCTACTATATTCTTATGAAAACCAGTGATAATTTTATTCAGAGACATAATCGGTTATGAACTTTCATAATTTCATTATTCTTTACTATCATGTTTTGTTTTTTCAATATTAAAACATATAGAGTTACAAATAAATGTCTTGATGTTTCATTCAACTCTATTATGTATTCTTACAAATCTAGTTCATTGTCTCTATGTTGAAAATGTATTAAGTAATTCTTCTTTTTTTTAAATTCTTTAAACATTGTTTACACACTGTGTTCGTTTGTTTTGTTTTGTTTAAACCATCATTGTTTTATTCATTTGTAATTTGACCATATAAAAAAAGGGTATAAAAATACTCATTTCAAATCAGTCGAAAGTCACATGGATTATGGGGTTTTTTATGAAAATGGTTAACTTATTATTATTATTATTCTCAATTAGAGTTGTGTTTTTTTGTTTCAATTTGTTTTGTATATTAATTCAATCAGTAGGTTTATTCATAATTATTTTCCGGTTACATTGGACTCAATATGAAATGGTTTAATGTTAAAAATCATAAATGGTTTATGGATAGTTTTTGTTTTCATCATCAGAGAATGATATCAACTAAAAAATTTATTTTAAAAAAAAACAATTGAAAGTCCCTATTTATGTAAATTGAAATGATAATTGTTCGTTTGTTAATCAAATTCTTATCAATCAATATGAGGTTTATGTTATGACTGATTGCTGCTAATTGTTATGTTGGAATCGCTTATTATTTATACTTGTAAAACGAGGAACCTTTGCAATTCTCATGACGCGAAATAAGATCACCAAAACTGGTTCAAGTGAAGATTTATTAAACCCATAGCATGACAACGACTATAGTTGAAAATATACACTTTCATGTGAAACTTGTTACAAGTAGAATTTGCTTGTTTTGAAAACCACTTTTAAATCTACTAGAAAATCATTAATTTTCAAACTTAGATTTTTTACTTATTTGTATTAGTTCCATTACAAATCATGATCACCATTATGATTTTTTTCGTATATATACATATGTATGTATATACCAATTTTCTTTTTGTATTCATCACAAGCAGCCGCGAACTTTATCCGATTCATCTCTGTCTTCACAACTCACTGGTCGATCGAAGTCGGCTTCACTTGAAGATGTGTGCCATTCGGATCAACCAGTTAATCTCGATCGCTCTTCTAAATGTTCCGTACTAGGAACTACGGATGATGAATTAAAAGTTGTATCCGATGCTGATATTCCTTTTAAACGTGTTCCATCCTTTTCAGATCCGAGTCACTTCAGTACAATTGGGGATGAACCACAGTCTCAACAACTAAACACTATCAAACGTTGTCCTACCCCTGAAGTTAAATGTCATTTAACATCAGGAACTACACCTAATGAAGTTATGTCAGATAGCTTTCAAGTGCCTCATAAATCTGTAAAAGAGAAAAAGAAACGTACGCGAAAAAAGCGTCTCGGATCTCACCATCATGATGAAGTATCTAGTTCAAAACTAATGCAACTTAATTACTTGAATACTCAGGACCCGTCACTTCCAGATACATCTGTAGTAAGTTCTACGGAACCTCCTATCACATGTGGTCCAGGTCACGATCATCCAGGTAGAGTGTATACAAACACTGACATTCCATTGAATGTTAACGCCTTATTTCAATGTATTTTCACGGATTCGGAATTCTTCTCGCGATTCAGTGAACATCGTGGTACATTTGGAATGATTCAATCTCCATGGCCAATATTTAAGTGGTCTAGTCCATCAGAATGTTTAAATCAGTTAGAAACTTCTAGTAAAATTGAAAGAACTATTACCTATACACTAACATTAAAACAGAAACTCGGCCCAAGAACATGCACGGCAGTAGAACAACAGGTAATTATTTTACAATTTCTTTCTCGAAGTTTTGACAAATTTTTAAAAGTAATCCTAGTAATTCTTGCTAAATCGAAAATGTCGTTTATTGATTGTCCCCTAATTAATTATGCTATTTATCTACTTAAGCAACATACTCTTTTTCCAAAATGCTTTGACAAACTATCTTTTATAGAGAAACAGAAAATTATAACGATGGATTTCTCTTTTTAACCTGCTATTTTAGTCTCCTTTGTGAAGCTGTTGTTGAAGTAGATGAACATAGTCCACAGTCCGACCTTTTTGTATAAATAAATATCATGCTACTTACTAATAACAAGTAGTGCTCGTAAGAAAGCAACTATTTTTTTGGTTGTGTATGCAGTTAACTTACCATGCTTCCTATTCATTCTTTTAATGACGACGTGGTAAACTTCTGTGTGCGGGCTCCAAGATAATATCTTAAGGCCCAGATTGAAGTGGGTGGTTTTATTTTGGAGCTAATCTTATAAGCTCTGAAACAAGATCATGATACACAAGGCGATTAAGCAAGTTCATAAGATACACTACTATAGTAGCCAGTGGTCTAAATAGATCCGTATACTATTCTTCATATATAGATCCTATGTACACCGTCAGCTTGGAATAATGGTTCTCTAGCTCCCTCAGGTGAACTATCCATATTTAAAAGCGGAGTTTAAGCCCTAGGCGTTCGCTTTTCAGCTTCTCTTTCTGTAAAATCACTTTCACCACGTGGACGTCCTTGGCCAAAACTCTTGGATGTATAAAACCATTTTTAGGGGGAGAACTACTACACCAAAATCATTTTGTGACAATGGAACAAATAATTGGATTTTCATTATTTGTTTTATCAATTTCAACATGAATTTAACTAATTTGAAAGAAAAAAGAAAGTAACAGTGCAGTGTCGTGTTTCATTGACTCATTGTTACAGTCTACCTAAGTGATCTTATACGTGTGAAAATTCAATAATTTTAATTTTATATACAGTTACATTTTATTGTCAATGTAAAAATCTAGTACTAATATTAGTTTAATCCCATTGTATTGTTGGTTGGTTTTTTACTAAAATAATCATTATTTGTCAAAAATTAGCCATTATTTTTAAGTTATAAGTTTTTTCATCTGTTTGTATATATATTTTATAAGCCTTCTCCCCTGCGAAGATCAATCATACTTGCGAACTAGTCTCTTAGTATAATGACTTTAACTTAATTGACAATTAGGAAAATATGCAGTTTTGGGTTTGATAATGATTGAGAACCTTTGATTCTTTAGAATATGATTTATAATCATTTATTTAAATCTTTACCATTTGAAGTTGTTATCATTCACTATGGTTATATTGCCTATGGATGAATGTTTGAATTAAATCATGTACGTAATATTGATCAGTTTTCTAATACCCAATATCCACATAGATTATGTTAGTTTTAGCGAACATCCATCAATTATTTGTAATGTATATTTAATTTAACAGAATAGTTTGTTTTGACCATTCATATTGATCAACGGTGTTAGTTAACATCATACAAATATTATAGTCTATGGTTAGAGTTCATGTATTTTGCTTATTGTACAGTAAAGAACTCTACTAATAATTCTCTCTGTATGTTCCTTTCAATGATAATTATTTACCTTTCTAACTAAAGATATTATAAATAACAATATATATGTCGGTAGTGTTCATTAATTTGACTATGTATTATTCTTTCACGTTTTTTTTACTCAATTCATACCTTTTCTTTTGTTCAATTTTAGATAAATTAACGCAAAATTTAAATATTTACAAATGGTTTTACTTTTTGTTGTGAATTTCAGACTCTTCTCTTAAGTGAATCCATATCTGGGAAAAGATATATCATTGATGCTAAAGTTACAAATCATGCTGTACCACTAAGTAATTGTTTCTATGTAGTTAGTCGTTATTGTCTATTGTATGTAAATCGTACAACTAGCCGACTACACGTTAGTTCACAAGTTATTTATGAGAAACCAGTGTTTTTTGGAGCAAAAAGTATCATAGAAAACACTTGTCATTCTGGTCTTTCGGATTTCTTTGATACAATAACTATTAAATTAAAAGAATTCTCTACAAATTTATCCTTAGAAGAACGTCTAACCGGTGGTTGGTTAGCACAACAGAGAGGATGCTTAAACAATATTACTCCTTCGTTAAATCCATCAAATATTCAAAATAATCCACTACTAATTCAAAGTGTTAATGGTAATCAGAATAATCGTAAACTTAATAAAGCTGATACATTGTTTACAGGGAATGTAAACAGTAGTAAAGTTCCTGCATCACGATATTCTGATCAAGCGAAATCATCTATATTCAACAACTGTATAAATGATAATGCAAATGTTAAAAAACAAAATAAAACTACACTATTCGGGTCTGGTGATATGACTTACTTATTTATGCGTCCAGATCGTGCTTGGTTATTACTAGTTGTTATGTAAGTGGTATTTTTGCGCAAGTATTTTTGTGTGTGTTAAATTCACTTCGAAAGTTTCCTAATAAATTATTGGTCAGAGAAAGAGGTTTATTATTTTGTTCCACTTATTCCCCATGTGTGTGCTACTAATGTTGACAGATATAAGTAGTATTTATCATCAGTCAAAGTGAAATGTCTGGAGGCAGAAGACCAATGAAAAGAGGACGAAAACAAAGTGATTGGTGTGAAAGAATGAAGTCCGAGACGATTGACTGATATTCGCAAAAAGAACAGTCAGGTGTGAGGCAATTAATTAACATTCTGCAAACTGAGTATTTACTGTATGGTTCTCAGACGTTCTGTAATTTTGTGTTCACATACACTCGATTGTCCCTACTTGTGTTCTCAGGGATTCTTTCCTCATTTATCAGTAAAATATTCGAATTATTTATGAGCTAATGAATAGAGCAGTAAATTAATGACTGAAACACTCATCTCTTAAGCAGAAAAGTTACGGGTTCTAACCTCACCGCATCACTATCCCTATACAATTTAACTCAAAAGAGTACATAAACATGTACTTAGTGGTTGTTTGATACGACGTACTGCTGTATGACAGATAATCAATATGAAGACTTATTTTCTTAATTCATTGTTCAAACGGCCGAATCGACTAATACGCCACATGAATGGAAGACATGTAGTGGTAGAAGTTTGTCATTATGTTGTTTCAATGAATCGTAGATACATCAAAAAACTATGTAACCCATGTAGCAGTTGTGGAAAATTCTTTATTTGATTAGAATTCAGTATTATTGTGTATATTCAAACATATAACGAATAAAGAGACTATTTTTAGATAATTCGACTAATAATCTTTTTTTATAGGACTATTTAATCAGTGCTGTATCATAAACTAACTTGTACCCCTTTTACTCCATATTTCAATTTCAAGTCAGTTTCTATCTACTGTATTCGGTGTTTCCCTTCTCATACATACAACCATTCTTATTAATGAATACATCTGTTCACAGAATACTTCATTTGAAAGAGCCGCATAAGTTTTTGTGACTTCATTATGGACTCAATGAGTGAGGCGTACTTCATTACGTTAGACTTTTGAAGTCGATTTGTTATCATACCTTGTGGAAACTATTATACCCATGAATTGACAATCGCCAGATTGTTGTATTTGCATTTCACATGACTGTACCTACTCGAAACATATTCCGATGTACTTATAAATTCAGGGGTTACAAAGTAATGGACAAGGATTCATAGTAGTGAACCAACTTTAATTTTGATGAGATAAAAAACTGCTTTTACGAAATCAATGAATCAGAAAAAGATGTTCATTTTCTCAAATTGTATTCAAATTGGTTTGGTTGGCTGATTAAATATAGGGATTTAAAGCATTAATTTTTTTCCACACTTAATAATACTTCATTTCGCCCAAAACTATATATATTTCTATACCATTAATTTTCTGAAATCAGTCATTGAATCTTCCTTGTTGCATTTTCTCTTTCACAGAGGTTTATTACTTTGCTTATTCTTATCAATGGTATATAATCGGCTAGTAGTTTTAGAAAAACTAGCGGAACAATTTCCTCCTCTATCAGCTCATGATCGGAATCATTTTCATGATCTGTTTGGAACATCACCACAAGAAGATCGAGGATCTATACCAATTTACAAGGATCATTTAGCTTCAAAATCACCTGAATGGGCAAGAACACGATTAAAAGTGATGAAAGATCTCATACACCTGTTATCTAAAACACTTATACAGGTAAGAGAATATTAATATTACTTCGATCCTATATATATATATATATATATATATATATATATATATACCAGTGATGTGAATAAGCCTTGGTGACAAATTTGTCTCGTCGGTTACAGCAAATTTACTGAACGAAACGTTGGAATTATTTAAATTTTAATCGCTGAGATTATTTCAAATATAGCTTCTTCATATATTATACAGCTGTTGAGTAGTTACATAATTGATCTATCAATCTTTTGTGCACTTACATTTTTTCGTTAAATTTTAGATGCAACAGACATTAACTCAAGTACAACAGGGTATAGAACTTCTAGAATTCCCACCATCTAACTTGGAGGATAATATCAAGACAAGTATGAATGTGAAGACTCCGACAAATACAGATACGAATTGTCCAGATACTCAAACTAAACATGTACCTTAATGATTATCATCACCAGGCAATTTTGAATGTATCTTTTATTTTTCTTACTTATAAGCTAACTAACTAGTCAGTACTATGTTTATTAATTGCTGAATGTAAGATAATTAGTCAATACTTCAGTTGATTTATCATACAATTACCAGAAAATATTGATGTTTTTTTTAACTTTTTGGAACTGTGATAATTTACGTTGTTTACATGTTAATAATGGTTAACCTACTGTATTGTTTTGTATTATTTCGCTATTGGTCTTTTCTTCATTCCAGTGAGCGAATTCTTTTCTATGTAAGGGTATATTATATTCCTTATCAGAAAATGGACACACTACTAATATTACTTAACATTTATTATCAATTCTCATTACACTGGGCTCTTTCTTTCTTTCTTTCTACACTCATAATTATGCTGATCTTTTCATCTCAACAAAAAAAATACTATTTTTAAGTTGATTAAGTTAGTTCTTTATCATTATAGAAATAAAGATCAAGAACTTAGGACTGATTCGCGTCATCGAACATTCTTTTTCGAAGTTTATAAGAATGTGAATAATTGAACCGACCGCTAGCCAACAAATAACAACGTTGTTTTATGGAGCTTGGGAGAGCAGCTGACTTGAGAAATCGGACGAGCGTGGAAATAGTTATATATATCATCCCACTTGGTAACTATTTTAATTAATCTCATAGAAATGGTAAATTCAAACAGAAGTACCTGAGCAACTATCAGTTAGACTAAAGCATGAATATAACACAAAGCATCCTCACAGAACTAAATATTTGTCTCAAGTATAGATAATAGGCTGTGCTGAAAAACCACCTAGTAGGTAACATCATATAACAGCATGATATGGCTTGGAAATCCAGTTATTGTGAACTCTTACATAACGATAAAAACAAAGATCTATAGAAATATCATACTGCCAAGAAATCTATCCCTGATATTTGACGGTCAAAAAGTTGAGCATACATTTATCCAAACCCTTATCTTCCCGATTACTGCTTATACTCTTACTACCTCTACCACTACGGGATTTGAATCGACAACTACATCTCTGTGCTAATGTGGTATGGCAACTCGAACTGATGTACGTACTTACAAAGTTCTACGTTGTTACTGACTGACATTTATCAAAACAGTCAGTCAGCAACAACATTGAACTTCGTATGTACGTACATCAGTTCAAGTTGCCATACCACATTAGCAGAGATACGTGTCGATTCACATCCATAGTGGTAGAGGTAGTAAGAGTATAAGCAGTAATCGGGAAGATGAGGGTTTGAAGATATTATTACAGAACCTAGTTTGCTGGTCAGACCATAGGTGGCTGTCTAAGTGAACCAGAATAGACAGAAAATGAAATATTTAGCTTGGTAATCAAATATAAGAATTGGTAATTCTGACTGCCAGTTATAAAAATTGTTTTTAAAGTAAAGACGTCGAAAATTTCTAATCTAGCATTTCTTTTTTTGAACTATCAGTATTTTGCTAGCACTATCCATCTATACATTATCAGTCAATTAAATCGCAAACGTATTTGTAATGTTGGCTGTAATAACTGAAGTATTCAAAACTCCCTTTCCAAATTATTATAATGCGAAATGAATCACTCTTAATAAACAATGGCAGTGGTAAACAGTAATAATACTAATATTGGCTTTGTGGCATATAATTATATTACGCTTCATGTCCATTCAGAAAAAATAAGACAATTTCTTCCAGTTGCCTTTTATTGAGATTTCAAAGTAATAATGAGGGATATGAAAAATACTAAAGTAAAAAGACGATTGTTAGAAAGTTGTCATGAAATGCAGTTTTTAGTAAATGCTTTCAAAATAATATAACTATAGAAAAAAAATAAGAATTTCAAATGATCGACCAATCAACTATATTTTTGTAATACATTGTTCCGATAAGTATTTCTTTGCCTGAATAAAGAAAGAATGAAATGTTTCTTATAATTTGACAAGAACATAAAATCTATCAAAATAATGAACATTTTACTCCGGTAAAATGTTTCCCAAAAGATCTATAATATGACTCAGTTTTAATGATGATTAAAAAGTGAATGTGGTTTACACTGGTGAAAATTAGAACCTAAAATTTCAACACAAGAAAACTGTCGAGTAATTTACGTTGATTGGTTGAAAGGCAGGAATAAATATACAGTGGGATTTGGATCACGTAATCGCATAAATCAAAATCTGGGGTAGGAAAATACCTTATCCATCAACTAGCAGTTCATATCAGAAAATCGAAATTACAAATACGATAGTTCTCTATTTTATTTTTATTACTGGATGTTAGCATAGCTGGACGTGTACGCACTAATGGGAGTTTAAAATACCCAGTCCTGGAAACTAAGAAGGCGATCCATTTATTTCAAAATAATACTAAATTTTTACATAGATGAATTAAAAAAAACACATCAATCACGATCGCCATTTCAGTTATAACACTCTAATTACCGGTTTATCTTATACTTTGTACATCCAGTATCCTTGAAATAAATGAAAATTGACTGAATAGAATTTATGTGAGGAAATAGCTCATCATGGAGAAAATATGTAAGCTGGATAAATATATAGACCATCTGTTCATCACTAGGTTCAGGAAGACGGCGCAAAAACCAAATGCTGATCAATATAAATCGATTTATCTTGGGTTATTTTACTTGATTTAGTTGGCGGATGTCTTTTTGAAAGCATGTACGGTCATAAACAAAATAACTAATAAAGTCCGAAGTAATTTTAAAGAATTTAGGCTGATAATATTTGTAAACTAGAATCATGACAATAAAGTACATGCTGTAACAGCGAGTCCTTATGCTGAGTATATAAGCTTGTGATCAAAAAAGTGACTAACCTGTTTGACATTACCATCAGCGGCCAGTTTCATTAGATTTGTGACTGTAAATGTGGAAGGTTTATCTGACGAGTTCGAATGGATTATGGGCTCTTCAGAATCCAGAATAAGACATGCTAAATTATAGGCAGCCAGTGGATGGGAATCTCCCCGAACAGCACAACTGTACCAATGACCCGCTTGTTTGTTATAATGTCGCTTCAGACCATCCTGAAGAGACAGGCACTCAGATGCTTGCTTTTCGTACCATACACCTAGATTATACTGCGCTGGTGAATAGTTTAATTCCCCTAAATCCAACCACAATTTGGGGAAGTGTTTTATCTTGCTTTCTGAAATAGATTTCAGTGCATGCTGTACAGAAACAAAAACAGATGAGTAAATTAGATACAGAAAATATTTATTAATAGAACTAAATACCATCGGCGAAATCGTGAGTAGATAATATATTGAAAGAACTCATTAAAGCAATTATTGGTTCTAAGCAAAATAGTTGCTTTGCGTATAAGACCACTTGTATAAATAGCAAGAACATTTGTGATTCTAGACAACTGTCTTCGCAAGATACTCTACTGTGGGAGCGAAGAATTTTTATTTATTTATTTTATTTGAACACATATATATTGGTACAGGAGTGCGCCAAATATATATGCGCCACACAATTTCAGTTCATTAATTGCGTGTGGGCTGCGATACTGCCCGGGTGCCCAGACCGAAGCAGGTGGTTTTCTTACGGGGCCACACCCCTGGGAGCGAAGAAACCAGCTACCAGCTGAGGATATAAAAATAAAAAGATGGAGGTGGATAGGACATACATTGTGGAAATCGTCAAACTGCATCACGAGACAAGTGCCAACTTGGAATCCTGGAAGCAACAGGAAAAGAGGAAGACCCAAGAACACATTACGTCGGGAACTGGAAGCAGATATCAAAAGAATGAATAGCAACTGGAAAGGATTGCCCAGGACAGGGTTGGATGGATAATGCTGGTGGGCAGCCTTCGATCCTCTACGAGGTGTAACGGGCGTGAGTAACAATACAGCAAACTTGTGTAAACAGACAATAAATTTCGATTCTGTAACTCAATGGTTAAAGGTTTAGCTCTTAACTGCTAAACTCCTGTTTAGATTTACACCATATGAATATATCAGAAATTTCATACTCTGGCGAACAATAGGATGATCGATCGTTAGTCATCAGGTCTGATAAGCCCTTCATTCATTCACGAAGTTTGATATACAATGAGCAGGCGATTTATTTGAAAATGATACAGTGGATTAGCAATTATACAAAAGAATCTTATTACCATTGTATGTAATGCAACCAATATATTAATAATATTGATATTACACATTCAATTAGAGGTCAAGGAAGTAAATAATTTGAAGATACAGTAAACTTCAATAAGGAACGACAGCTATGATATCACGCGACCTTTACTACTAAGTGATTTTGATGTACAACAATAGTTGTAAAAAAGTGAAAACATAATATAAAGAAAATGAGTTTATGGATTCCATGACCATTAAACTGAGTTGTTTACAAAATTGTAAACACTCAAGAAGTGCTATTGTTCACTTGTGTAAAATATTTAAAAGAAAAATTTAGTTCATTGTAGACGAGAATTTAATAAGACTACGCTAGCTTCCAAATAAATAGATAAATTTGCAAATTTATGTTCAACGACATGCCGAAAAGCATCACTTATGTATGCTAAAATAAAACAAAGCATTAAATAATATTAATAATACAGTACTTACACAGTTTAACTTGTGAAAGATTTGGTCTACTTTTGTAGATAAAGCTTCTAAGTTTGTTTCGGTATCAAGTGTTTCAGTCTGACAACTTTGATTTTTTGTTTCTATGGGCTTGTTACGACACACGAAAGTAGAGCCCTTACAAGAGACTAATTCGGTAACAGCGGGATTAGCAATAGTGAATGGAAATCTATTGAGATATGCTTCCTGTAACTAAAATTGTTAAAAAGTGAAAAAGTAGGTTACGTGTAGCAAATGTCGAGAATATAATTTTTCTGAGGTAACAAAACTTGACTGGAGATTTTTCGGTACTTCATACTTATTTTGTAAGGTAGAACATTGTAGAATCGAGTCATCAAAGCTGACAGGAGCCAATCCACGTAGAACTACTAAATATACGTTTAATATGAAGATTAACTTACAGCGTAGTTTAGCACTTAACATTGGCTTGTAACAAAGGACCGCTTGAGTTGAACTATGACTGACCCCAATATAATGAGAACCACGTTATTATCTGTTTGAATACTTTTGATAAATGTATTCGATCAGAAAATCTTTGTGTAGAAAGAATAATAAAGGTCTTTGTGTCCCAAGCCAGTGTTTTTGGGGGGTAGACTTTGTATAGGGGCCAGGTATGTCCCTCCCTCGGGGTCCTACAAATACCAAAAAATAAAAAAAGTAGCTGAAAGACTCGGAAAATACGAATAGCGGTAATAAAAACGAGCTCAAGATGCGTATAACTATCTGTGTAAAGGTGTCTTCATGTAAGCAGTTTAAGAAATCTGTAACTGGTGAATTCCCATAGGACATTTAAGATGCTTAATAATGTTCCTAGATATCCGATCTGTGCATTTGAATTCCTATTTGGTATTAAAAATCTATTGGACTCATTTCATTTGAATTATCTAGGTAGTGAAAGGACTCATATTGTATTGGACCTACGTAGCGATCTTCCTGAGATCGTAAGTCAGTACTTCTCTTTTCGTGTCAACCACTTCTTACTCCGGTTAAATCATTTAGCTTCATAAAAGCAAAGACGATTGTTGGAGGCGATTCAGTCAATTAAACCTGACCCGGGTCTATTTGCTATTTAAATTTGCGGACGCCGGGACTGGTTGGAGAAAGCGGAGAGGTGGCCAGTGTATGACATGATGTCGTGGTATGAAAGAAAGCTGAAAGGACTGGCTTCTGTTGGTCCTTCACGTCCCGACCGTTGTTGTTACCTTGACGTGGTGGTCGGGCTTGCCTATCGTGATGAAGCAACCGAGCTATACTGGCTGGAACAACCGTTCCTCAAGGTCCTACCATGTCAGACAGGTCGGTTGAAGAGCGGTAAGACTAAAAGCAACAAACCCAAGGTCCGAAGGCGAAGTCGTACTGCTGACTGTACAGAGGTGTGGCAGCAGTAAGGTGTTTCCTTCAGACAACCAGCATGACAGCGATGCTGCCTTCCCACAAGGAGGGGTGGGGTTAGAAAAGGTCGACCCTAAAAATGCACACCTCACCTTACCTCACGGATTTCCGTCTCCGGCGGTAAGGCCCTTCGAAGAACGGAGCTAACACGTCAAAAACCTCCCACGAAAAGGCCGTGCGCGACCGACCTCAAGCAGTTGTCCCTTGGGCACTGCGGTCACGCTCTCAGGTCACTGAGACCGCCTCTAATCCAATTTCCTTTTCAGGTACCTCCAGAAGAACCCTTCCACGGTGTGGGCAACCGGGAAGTGATAATCGCCCTCATACCTCTAACAGCACCCAAGACTACTGTATTCATAATCAACCTTCCTCTTCAATTCCTATTATTCCTCCTACATCGACTTTCAACCCTAAACTTCCTCCTTGGGCTTCCTCCTCAAGTGTCACCATAGCTCAAAACACTGTCCCAGGTCTACTGAAACCTCGCTCCAAACTACACATTGGAACTTTCAACGTACGCACTCTATGTCAAATCGGTCAGCAGGCTTCCTTGGCTAAAACCCTAGAGTCTCTTTCCATTGATGTATGCTGTGTCTCCGAAACACGCATACAGGATTCCAGTGTGGTCATTCACTTGACCTCACTTCGGCAAAACGGAGAGCCAACGAGATACACCCTACGTGTATCTGGTGACCCGATGGCCAGTTCTCGTAGACTGGCAGGTGTAGGCATAGCACTAAGCATGAGGGCGGAACAAGCACTGCTAGAGTGGACCCCCGTTAACAGTCGTCTATGTGCTGTTCGGCTAAACGGCTCCGTAAGAACTCGGAAGGATAGGGACACACGTCGTTGCCTTTTCGTCGTTTCTGCCTACGCTCCCACTGACTGCAGCTCAGATGATGTGAAAGATGAATTTTACAGAAAGCTGTCCGAACTTCTTCAGAAAGCTAAACGTCCAGACATAGTACTCGTAGGGGGTGACTTTAATGCTCAGATAGGTAGCTTAAACCAAACAGAAAGGCATTTAGGTGGATATTTTAGCATTTCGGCACAGCGAACAGATAATGGTGACCGTCTGCTGCAACTGTGCTCAGACAATCGTTCATTTTTAGCAAACACAAATTTTAAGCATAAGGAGAGACATCGTCTAACGTGGCGACCGCCTGCACCAAACCAACGATGGACTCTTTTATTAGTCTGTAAAGCTGTCTTGTGTTCCCTATAGTCGCCGCCTTTTCCATCTCTTTTGCTTTCGATGTCTCTCCTTATGCTTAAAATTTGTGTTTGCTAAAAATGAACGATTGTCTGAGCACAGTTGCAGCAGACGGTCACCATTATCTGTTCGCTGTGCCGAAATGCTAAAATATCCACCTAAATGCCTTTCTGTTTGGTTTAAGCTACCTATCTGAGCATTAAAGTCACCCCCTACGAGTACTATGTCTGGACGTTTAGCTTTCTGAAGAAGTTCGGACAGCTTTCTGTAAAATTCATCTTTCACATCATCTGAGCTGCAGTCAGTGGGAGCGTAGGCAGAAACGACGAAAAGGCAACGACGTGTGTCCCTATCCTTCCGAGTTCTTACGGAGCCGTTTAGCCGAACAGCACATAGACGACTGTTAACGGGGGTCCACTCTAGCAGTGCTTGTTCCGCCCTCATGCTTAGTGCTATGCCTACACCTGCCAGTCTACGAGAACTGGCCATCGGGTCACCAGATACACGTAGGGTGTATCTCGTTGGCTCTCCGTTTTGCCGAAGTGAGGTCAAGTGAATGACCACACTGGAATCCTGTATGCGTGTTTCGGAGACACAGCATACATCAATGGAAAGAGACTCTAGGGTTTTAGCCAAGGAAGCCTGCTGACCGATTTGACATAGAGTGCGTACGTTGAAAGTTCCAATGTGTAGTTTGGAGCGAGGTTTCAGTAGACCTGGGACAGTGTTTTGAGCTATGGTGACACTTGAGGAGGAAGCCCAAGGAGGAAGTTTAGGGTTGAAAGTCGATGTAGGAGGAATAATAGGAATTGAAGAGGAAGGTTGATTATGAATACAGTAGTCTTGGGTGCTGTTAGAGGTATGAGGGCGATTATCACTTCCCGGTTGCCCACACCGTGGAAGGGTTCTTCTGGAGGTACCTGAAAAGGAAATTGGATTAGAGGCGGTCTCAGTGACCTGAGAGCGTGACCGCAGTGCCCAAGGGACAACTGCTTGAGGTCGGTCGCGCACGGCCTTTTCGTGGGAGGTTTTTGACGTGTTAGCTCCGTTCTTCGAAGGGCCTTACCGCCGGAGACGGAAATCCGTGAGGTAAGGTGAGGTGTGCATTTTTAGGGTCGACCTTTTCTAACCCCACCCCTCCTTGTGGGAAGGCAGCATCGCTGTCATGCTGGTTGTCTGAAGGAAACACCTTACTGCTGCCACACCTCTGTACAGTCAGCAGTACGACTTCGCCTTCGGACCTTGGGTTTGTTGCTTTTAGTCTTACCGCTCTTCAACCGACCTGTCTGACATGGTAGGACCTTGAGGAACGGTTGTTCCAGCCAGTATAGCTCGGTTGCTTCATCACGATAGGCAAGCCCGACCACCACGTCAAGGTAGCAACAAAGGTCGGGCGGCGACTATAGGGAACACAAGACAGCTTTACAGACTAATAAAAGAAACTGGAATTAATAAGTCAAGTGTAAGTGAGATTATATCGGAAAAAGACGATACTCTCATCTGCTCCCAGTCCAGACGTCTAGAACGATGGGCGGAACATTTCAGAGAGCAGTTCAACTGGGCTTCAGCTACTCTACAACTACCCTCCATTCCCAGACAGTGTGAATGGAACATTGAAGTAGGTCCCCCAGCTCTTGCTGAAGTTCAAAAGGCTATAGTTAGTCTGAAACGATTAGGTTGACTAATATTTTAGCTAAGATCTGGGAGCTAGACGTTATCCCATCTGACTGGTCACAATCACTTATCGTCCCAATATATAAGAAAGGGTTAAAATCATCCTGTGACAACCACAGAGGGATTAGTTTAACTAATATAGTATCTAAAATACTAGCCTCGATAATTATCAGACGCCTAACTAAGACTCGTGAACTGCAAACACGAGAGAACCAAGCTGGCTTTAGACCTGGTCGTGGCTGCATTGACCACATATTCACCATTCGTCAGATTCTAGAACACAGGCATACTTATCGGCGTCCGACAATGGTGGTCTTTCTCGACTTAAAAGCAGCATTTGACTCGGTAGACCGCGAGATTCTGTGGCAGTGTCTGTCATTGAAAGGCGTACCTCAGAAGTACATAAACCTTGTAAAGACTCTTTACTCGAACACTACTAGTCGAGTCAGAGCTTATGGCGAACTGTCATCTACTTTTGCAACCTCAAGTGGTGTCCGTCAAGGCTGTCCACTTTCCCCATTTTTGTTTAACTTCATCATAGATCTACTGATGGAAATAACTTTCTCGTCGACTGAATTCTCGGGTATTGATCTCCATCCAGGAGGTCCACTTATCGACTTAGAATACGCAGATGACATAGTCCTGTTTGGTGAAGAGGCTGACAAAATGCAGAGTCTTTTGGTAGCACTAAGCAACAATGCCAGAATGTTTGGAATGCGCTTCTCTCCCTCGAAATGCAAGTTGTTGCTTCAGGACTGGTCTGCGTCAACACCTGAACTAGGGATAGGGAATGAAGTAGTCGAACGCGTTGACAACTTCACTTATCTTGGAAGTCTGATCAGCCCTAATGGGTTGGTATCGGACGAAATCTCAGCACGGATTCGAAAAGCTCGCTTGGCTTTTGCCAACTTGCGTCACCTTTGGCGAAGGCGAGATATCCGTCTCTCAAAAAAAGGACGGGTATACTGAGCGGCAGTCCGTTCTGTTTTACTTTACGGCAGCGAAACATGGCCATTAAGAGTAGAAGACACTCGTAAGCTATTAGTATTTGACCACAGATGCCTTAGAAATATTGCTGGCGTCTGTTGGGATCACCGGGTAAGTAATAGTGAGGTTAGACGCAGGGTATTAGGAAATGATGGTAAATCAGTTGATGAGGTTATGAATCTTCATCGACTGAGATGGTTGGGCCACGTGTTACGTATGCCTGAACACCGATTACCACGACGTGCAATGCTATCCGGTATTGGAAATGGTTGGAAGAAAGTTAGGGGAAGCCAGACCAAAACGTGGCATCAGTGCTTGAAGTCACTAACTTCTAGTCTGAGCCATGTTGGTAGATGCAGACTACTTGGTTGGGGTCCGCGTGACTATCGTAACCAATGGTTGGAGACTCTTGGTGACATGGCTCAGAATCGATCACAATGGCGTCGGTGTATACACTCCCTGTCTTCCCTTAAACTAAGAGATTAAAATCGCTTCATACCTTTCTTTATACGAACCAATTCTTTCTTCTTGTACTATATCTCTATATGCAATCTTTCTCTTATATATTACCACCTTTGACCTAACCACTGCTATGAATCCGGTGTTCATCTTGTTGTGCTGATGCGGTATGGCAACCTGGACCGATGCATATATGTGCCTGGTCCTACGTTGTAGCTGACTGACTGACTGGTCCTTCACGATTCCCTGGTTGGGGTCCGAGGGATGGTGCAACACAGTGGCTAGAGACGTTATCAGATATGCCTCAGAATAGAAGCCAGTGGGGATCCTGCTGTAACCTTCTTTTACTTTCTTCATAAAGGGTGGTTGTATCTTCCTTAACTGAAAGAATTCTTCTTGTTGTACCTTTCCGTTTCCCCCATTATTATTATTATTACTACACTACCTGACGCTAATCTATGGTCGTTATTGTTCTTTTTTTCCTTTATACTCCTTGCCTTTTTCTCTTCCCATTCTCATTGTTTTGTGTGGCGTATATATGTTTGGTGCCTTCTTGTACCAAAATTTATGTGTTCAAATAAAATAAAATAAGAAGCAGTCTACTTCGACGGATGACATATTTTCTAACTGGACGACGACAGAAAAGATCGGTGGGGTCCAAGATGCCTAGTTGAAGACCACCATGAGGAACTTTTCAGGACCAGTGGTTCTATTCTATATAGAATTTCGCAACTGCTTACCTAATATCTTTGATCTTATTTTATGTAGGTGATATCGAAATGCAAAGGACACAACAAAAGAATATAAAAGAACATAAGAAAATTCTAGATAAATTAAATGTATGCTCCAATTGTTGATAACCACAGTACTGATGTGAATAATAACATATAGTAGTGAGATGAAAAAGATGTAACAAACTTAAGATCTAATAAAAACTTGCGCAGGTCTGAAGTTGAATCGAACAAAATGAAAACCAGAGAGAGCATTTCGAGTGGGAGAACTGACTCTCCCCACCCTCGAACGTATCAAGGTATTTGGGAACCCGTAATTCCTAAAAATGTTTTACCACAACCTCTTTATCTAAATTTTAAACGGCTAGCATTTTCAACCTATTTTTCGTCTCATCCTAAGTTCTATAAACAATCAGAAGATTTTGTCAGAACGGAGCTGAATAATAATAGAATACAAAAGGTATTACGGACGTGAACACCTCAAGTAGGCTTCAAGATAGTATTTGTCTATCCACCACCCAAGACATTCTTCCTTATGACCCCAGAAAAGTTTGTCACACAGAAATACTACGTTAACACCAATTAGGCCAGATAATGTAGCGATTGTTCGATGACAACCAAAACTGATGTCAGTGAAAATGGAATACATAAGTTAAGACCTCGTGTAGACCTTTCGGGTTTCGTCTTACAACTCTTCCCATCTAGTGATAAAGGTATATTTATGTGCCCAGTGATCAGTCATGAGCACATGTAGATATCTGGTAGTGACATTGTTTGTAAGTGCATGTCTATAAGGGAGGCCGAACCTAGTGTTTATTTTGCACCTCTTTTAACAAATTAATTATGTAACGTGTGATTTTTTATCTCTGTCATCTGCTACACCGAAAATAATCACAAACCGATAAGGTATTTTTCTTTTCCAGAGGTACAGTGATGGTAATAGGACTCACCGGTTAGCATGGACACGTACCGCTGTAATACGGGTTTTTATGCTTATGTTATTCCTTCTGAATACCAAGGATCGAAATAAATTTGATATTATGTGCTAATGAGCATTCTTAGTGATATTCATTTTCACATAGAAGCGAGGGCAAAATCCGAGAATATTCAGGTTACAATTGGAACATATATATATCTCGCAAGTGCAGGAGATATCTGGAGTTTGAGTGGAGTCAGGCGAAAGTGAGACAATATGGCTTAAATTTTGGCGAATAGTAGACTATTTAGAGATCAATAAGGTGTGAACTTATAGATTTCTCGCCTCATGGTGGACATTTTATGGAAATATTTCCCTATATGTTTTATTATTTCTTCAGAGTGAGCGAAAAAGGCGACTTTGGTTGCAATTTCGCATGAATTATTTCCGAATTTTTGTCATCCAATGTCACGCATTTTTCCACGAAATTCGCCTTTCATTCCCATTTAGTTTAATTGGGATTATTAGAGGGTATCATGCCACTAAACTAAAGCATTGAGATGGAAGACGAAGATATGTATGAGGTGTTTTCAAGTTTCGGATATAGTAAGTATGAAGATATATGGATTAATTATCCGAAAAACAAACAAAATTACGAACAGTACCTACAACAGCTTATTTCGTACCGTAACGAATAATTATAAATAATTGCCATGGGTTTCAGATTACAATGTATAATCCATGTCTTTAAAGACATGACATTTATAGACAGATTGTTGCGAGCTAAACAAGACAAGATTCAACCTGGTGAACCTCATTGTCTAGTAGAAAGTGACCAACGTTTCTTTGCAGCAAGGACCGGGATATATGGAACAAGCGGGAATGCTTCAAAGAGTTGTGGACGGAATAGAAGAAGCTTTTGCTTAAAAGGCTTCCGAATCTAGTAGTAATGGATCACCGATACCTCCAGGTAGGAACCTAGGTATGTTAACGATAAAAGAGGAAAAAGGAATTGGTAGGACACAATCCTTAATCCTTAAGAATATATCATGATTCCTTTTAAAGGACTCGTGCAAAGTATCTTGAACTATCTCAGCCGGCGGCGAATTCCAGCATTTGACAACTCTTAAGGAGTAAAAGGTGTGTCTACAATCCATTCTGCTGTGTTGTGTCTCCAGTTTCCAGGTTTTACCCCTTAGGTTTGTGTTGGAGTTAAACTTAAGTAGGTGTTTAATGGGGTCTCCAGCAGTATTCAGGATGCTGTGAGCCATTAGAAGGTCACCTCTAAGACTCCTGTACTCTAACGGTTAAAAACTTGGTGATTGGAGGCGCTCTTCATAAGGCTTGAATTTGAGGCCTCGAACTGATTTTGTAGATCGCCGTTGGATACACTCCAGAGTGTCCTTATCATCTCTTAGTGAGGGAGGAAATACTATGTTTTCATACTCTCAGTGGGGACGAATGAAGCTGTGGAAGATCATGTGGAAAGTTCTAAGGTCAAACTGGCCAAAAATGCACTTCAGTGTTACCAGTCCAAGGCTTACTCGAAAAGCATTTTTGTCACAGTTAACGTAAGACTTCAAGTGGTAGAGTACCAAAACTCCTAAATATTTTTCATCTTAGGGTACCTCTAGCGTGCAGTTTTCTAAGTTGTGGCCGTAGTTTTCAACGTGTCTCAGATGAACTGCTTAAAATTTCGAAGTGCTAAAGGTAAGTTCATTGTCATCTGCCCAATTTTGATGTCGAGTCAGATCCTCCTGATGTGCCAATATATCCCCTTGGTTGAGTATCTTTCTCCAAAGTTCCACATCAGTTTCAGCTTCCAAGAAACAATTCAGGAAACTTGTTCTTTATAAGGCTTCTATAGTTCTACCGTATGTGTGTTTAATACTGATGAATTTAGTTCAGTCAATAAGACAATCAATGAGAGCGCATATTGAACAGCAAATTCTGTAAAAATTTCAAAACAACTGGATAGGGAACATGACGAATTATCACTTCCAGTTTTAAAAATGCCGTTTGAATAATATTTACAATAACTTCGAGAAAAATGCAACAGGTTCTAAAATATCCACCTGCCCATTGTTATTGGACGCCATCAATTTATGGAGCAGTTACATATACGGTAGTGTGCATGCTTCGAGCGTATATCTGACCTGGTTATAACTTAATTTATGTAATGAATCCATTCTCCGCATCCTTGTTCATTCTGACTGCCAAACACATAACTAAGTAGTAGCGTTCATTGCTGCCATACTAAATGAAATATCCAAATATTTCGGAAAATATCGGTTTCATTTATCATTTCATGATACAGTGGCCTAGCAGTTTTGAACTTGAGTGATAAGTCTTGCTAATTGAACGCCATATTCGGTTCCTAAGCTATTCTCGTAACCCCTCCAAACTAGAACTACACAGCGACCTGAACACGAGAGAAAATGCGCAAAATATGCGAGAAGCGATTTACTCCAAATGTTCATTCTAGTACAGAAAATATAGGGTTTTTATAATATTTTAGACGTCCTTGGGTTTCCCGAAGATTGTGGAATGCTACTAAACATAGTAGCAGTTTAGTAATCATCCAATCAGAAACTCTACATGTGACTTTTCACTTTCTTGATGTTTCTGGCTAGACTTCAAGTGAACGCTGATTGTATAAAATGTTCTTTAGTGTTTTCCCGATCATTGCTTGTCTTTCGCGATAAGTTTTCCGGATCACCCCAACATTGTATTTCTTGAGAGTTCCAAAATAACATGATGCAGCGGTTCATTGTTCCTTAGTGGTCAATAGCCGACTACTAAACTCCAGTCAATCACAAAGTCATAAATCAGGGCATTCGAAGCAACCTTTATTTATGAACTGACTTAATTATCGTCACTGTATCTTATATTATACTAACCATTCTATAAATGAAATATGAATGACTCATTTTCTACGTTTTAAAATGTTGAAGTTAAATTTCTGGACTTTAAATGAACAACATTGAATGAAATTAGTGGAGAAAAGAGCTTGGTATTATCTTGGTAACTAATGTAGTCTGCACAAAGGGGAGAAATAAGATTAAATTCCTTCATACAGTTAACTATCACTTCTTTACGCATGTATAAGTTTACGTTATTATGCTACACTATCTTAATTTAAAATGAACTTGGTAGCTTTTATTTACATTTAATTTATTCTGCATATCAAATATCCAAAGGAAAAATGATCATAAGACGGTGGTTAGAGGTAGTCGTCAGGGGACCCTGGATCTAGGTTTTGTGCTACTTGGCACTCGTTATCAAGTTGTACCAGTACTCTTGAAGGAATTGATGCTTCCCCGACGGACTCGATCGTATGTCACCCAGATTCACAGTCAGAAACGTTACCACTGGGCTTTCTGGGCCGCGACTGACCTCCTGTAGGGCTGACGTGTATTTACAATTGATTGATCACTGGGTGATGACCCATGTCAATGATATGAAATCGAATCCGTCAGGGAGCATCAGTTCCCTCAAGATTACAGCTACACCTTGCTGATAACTGCCAAGTAGCACGAAACCTTGGTCCAGGGTTTCCTGTTCACTGCCATCCTATTTCAACATAATGCACGCAATGTCGAGTCACCTAGACTAGTGACCACATTGCAACATAGTTGATAGTATTCGATCTGCACTAAGAAGGACCTGATATACATGGCATCGATCACCACCCCATGATCAATCCATTGAAAAATGATCACTAAACAAATTAAATTATTGACTTATTTAAAGAAAACAATGTTTTCTCTAAACACTGATCAATAATTATTCATTCATATATTTTTTAAAAGAATGTTTTACATTGTGATCGAATGTTAACAATAAAAACACACTATTATCGCTAGTCATTCATCGAATTCATAAGATAAAAATATTTTTTACAAAAACAGTTAAATATCATTCTTATTATAGTTACTATTACATGGAAGTAATAAATAAATGATAAAGCAATTTGATTGGTTAATTTTCGTAACATGATTAAGTCACGTGAATATTAGTAAACATCTCCTTCATACAAATTATTGATCATATTTTAAATTTCTTTAGTCACTAAGTTAAAGAATAATTTAGTTTAAAAGTTAATTGATATTGTTGATATCAGTAGTAAATTTTCTGCGAATTGAAGAAAAAAAAACAATAATAATGTTAATCAAATTTATTTTTCCATCATTAAGATCAAATACTAATCAAGAAGTTTGTCGTATTCATTATAATCGATCTTTGAAATCATTAAATATGGATTGGATTGCTAAAGCTATATTTCAGATTACTAATTTAAAACGAGATACATTATTTAGTCTTTATTATTATGGTAAGTAAACAAAAAAAAATTTTTTCTATCTATCTATTCTCTAATGTTCATTAAAAGTGTAATATCTAGTATTTTTCTATTATTCTTTTGTTTTCATTCATTGAGTAAATTTCATATTATAAGGATATCATCTTTACTGGATATTGCATTTCAGTCGTTTAAACCTACTTATATATATATATGTATTCCCACGACGGGAAAGTAAGAACACAAAGACTGGCATAAGTGAAGATTTATTAACCTCCAAAACACAACAACGACGACGACAAATCTTGTCGAGAATGTACTCATTTATATATTGATTGTACACCCATTTTGATTAATAATTAGGATTAAATTACATATATGAAAAATAATTAGTCATAACAAATCATATACTGAGCATAGTTCATGTCAATGGAATACAAGGAAATTCATTAGCCCCACGGCAATTTTTTTTAAAAAATCCCCACCCGCCCTTCAGTCATTTTAATGGACTTCTTTAATATGACTCCGTTCACAGATCGGACCAGCGTTTCTTCAACTTTTACCGAAATCCGCAACAGCCTGGATGATGTAATTCCAAATACTAATCCTGCAGCACCATTTATTAGCAAAATCACGCAGTTACAGTTAGTTTTCATGAGAATTCCCATGGTATTAAGAAAACAAATCAAATCCCTATTACTGGAAGGCTTAGAAGCGTCGTCAGAAATCTCCAACCTACTTCTGTGTATTTTCACACTGTGTCTATGTTTATTGGAATTAAGCGTTCTGAGAAACTGTGACCAGTCAGACTTAGAAAGCGAAGATATTTGGACAACTATCAAAGAATCAAAGAATTTTTCTTTCACACCATACAATTTTTTAGAAATGGGTGGTAGGGAATCTTAATTGCCGTGGGCTTAATGTCAACCGAACACAAGAATATCGCATATTATACAGAATAAAAATATCGTACGAGAAAAGAGAACAAACATTACATTGAGTAATCATTACAGTGAATCAAAACGGAACCATAACTCATAATGAGTGAATCAATCGAAAATTGATTTTTCTTTCCATCAGGCTCTTATATATTGTACAACATAATAAAGGGAGGTAAAAGGTTCAAAAATGCTTGTTACTATACATATATATTGGACATTGAAAATAAATAATATATTTTTAATATCCTAATGAGTAGAAAAATTAGATTTCCTGACGTTTTGTGACTTAGTGTAAGCCACTAATTCAGAGAATAAATAAATAAATAACCCGAGTTTCAATCTTGGCTTACACTAAGTCACGAAACGTCAGAAAATCTAATTTTTCTACTCATTGGGATATTACAAATATATTAATTAATTTATTTACAACAATCTACGCAATGCTTAATTTATTCGAAATCATCAAGTCAAGCCTTGATAATGATATCTACAAACTGTTAACCGTTAAAACAATTT